AAGCATTCACTCATGCACATAATCGTCTTACCAAATCTCCAAAACTACAAGCACATTATCTGCTTTATACTCTAGCACAACAAACCCTTTTCGAAACTCCAAGCACATTTCCATACATTAGACACATTATTGAAAAATAACAGTGTTGTGTTTCGCTTGAAAGCACGATCTGTTGACTCGAGGCCGAAGTATACTTCACTTTTGTATTATTTCAAACATTTTTGTGAAATTTTGGCTTAAAAATGTGCTTGAGCTAACTGTCTTTAAAATATATGACAATTTGGTTGATATTTTGTGTCTAATGCAATGATATTTTGAAGTGTGACATAACTGTATGGCCTGGTTTCACAGACAGGGCTTAGATTAAGCCAGGATTAGGCAGCTTTTTTAAGAATGTGTGTGCATCTTGAGACAAAATTTGATCACCAAAATTATAGATTTAAAACTTCATGTCTTAAAATATCTTGAATGTAACTCGACACCCTCGCCTCATTTAGTATGTGTGGTTCTATGAATATGCAGATGAGCCCCGCCTCCACTCACTCCCTCAGCTCAGAGATCCACTGGTTGACGATCACACGTTGATCTGATTGGTTACAAGGTCGTTTGTGACGTCAGAAACACCAGCGATTTCACACCGTGTTTTTGAGACTGTCTTTGGTTCACTGCAGTTTTAAGCAGGAAATACTCAGCAATGCTATGAATAATAATAATAATAATAAAGGTTTATTCGGTTACTAAACATAAAACAGAATATATACAACAAATTCATTACAAACAAAGAAGGTAACCGAACAGGTGTAGGCTGAAGCCATGGCTTATTACGCCTACCCTATTTACATCATTTACATCAACATCTACCCATCAAAATTTGAACATAAACAATATACATGTATAAACATATGCATACATACACTCATTCCTATATACACATACTGCATACTCATATACATACATATATACATACATACAAACCTCTGCACTTGATTACAAATATTTATTTATTACTTATATTATTGAAATCTAAACACAACAATTATGCATAAACTTATCTTGGGCAATTTTTCTTAAGCATCCGAATATTTGTCAAAAATGAAGATTTTAAACTGTTTTTTAAAGTAATGAATGGAATTACTCCTCTTAAGATCATCAGTGAGACCATTCCACAAGTCGACCCCTTTTACCGAGATGGTGTTCATTTTAAAGTTTGTTCTGACCATCTGTTTTTTAAACATGTTCTCTCCTCTTAGGTTATATTTCTGTTCCCTGTTTTCAAACAAACATAGAATATTTTCAGGCACTATTTTCCTATTAACTTTGAACATAAAAACGGCAGTATTCAGACTGACTAAATCAGAAAATTTTATTGCTTTAAATTTACAGAATATAGAATTTGTCGGTTCATTATAAGGGGAATGATTGACTATCCTTATAGCTTTTTTTTGTAAAATAAAAATGGGTTTTGTGTTTGTGGTGTTGGCATGCCCCCATATTTCAACACAGTAAGAAAAATATGGAACAATAAGAGAACAATACAGAATATACAAAGACGGCGTATTTAAAAAGTACTTGGTTTTATGTAATATAGCTATTGTTTTAGACAGTTTTGATTGAACATGAGCGATGTGAGGTTTCCAGGATAGTTTATGGTCTAATATTATTCCAAGAAATTTGTTTTCATTTACCCTTTCTAGTTCCACATCATCAATCTTTAAGCTCATGCTGGTTTTAATTTGTCGATTACTAAATATAATATATTTGGTTTTACTTAAATTAAAAGATAGTTTATTTCGGTCAAACCATTGCTTAATTCTAGATAGTTCTCTAGTCACATCAGAAATTAATTGGTGAAGATTTTCCCCAGATACATACAGTGTTGTGTCATCTGCAAATAATACACATTTTAACAAATTGGATACCTTACAGATGTCATTAATATATAAAATAAACAACTTAGGACCAAGCAAAGAACCCTGGGGCACCCCACAAGTTACTTTACGCATTTCTGATTGATGCTCATTAAAATGAACATACTGGTGTCTATTGTCAAGATAGCTTTCTAACCAAGAGTAAGCACGGCCTCTAAAACCATACTGCTCTAGTTTATTCATTAACAATTTATGATCTATGGTATCAAAGGCTTTTTTGAGGTCGACAAAAACACCCAAAGTAGAATACTTTTTGTCTAATGCAGATGCTATATAATCAACTAATTTAATAACTGCCATTGAAGTCGATCGACCACTCCTGAATCCATATTGATCGTCACTTAATATCATGAATTTTTCTATGAAACTATCAAGCCTCTTCAAAAAAAGTTTTTCCAGTATTTTTGAAAATTGGGATAATAATGAAATTGGTCTATAGTTTGAGTATAAATGACTATCACCACTCTTGTAAATTGGTATAATTTTTGCAATTTTCATCTGATCTGGAAACACTCCAAATTTAAAGGACAAGTTGAAGATATAAGTCAGGGGTTCTAATATTAAATGGATTATATTTTTAACTAGTTTCATATCCATATCTGTCCAATCGGTTGACCTTTTATTTTTAAAACCATTCACAATCTCCAGTGTTCGTGTTCTACTAATGAAGGTAAATTAGTAGCAAAACTCGAGAGCACGTAGATGTGAATTTGAGAACTTGTACAATAAATATTCGTACGTGTATGTGAACATTTACACTCACAGCTCCGATGTGAAAACCTGTAAAATAAAAATCTGAAGTTGAATGTTGAGATTTGCACTCGCAGACAATAGTCACAAACCTGTATTCTGAATCTGAAGCTGCAGACAAGCAGTCACACATGTGTAAAACGCCATTCACAGAAATACAACGACAGACACAAACTTGTAAAATATATTTGCACTTCTTCTAACATTCAAATTCGCAGTACAACCTCAAATTGGCACTTGCAACTTCTCAAATCTGTCACTGCATGTTCAAATTTCGCGCCTTGACTTTTGCTACTCTTTTCGCGATATATGAGGTGCAAAACTAACTTGTGCACTTGCAACTCAGTGGCGGCGAGAGAGAGAGGGGGGCGGGAGCGGGGGTGTTCAAAGGAGCCGTTTTATTGGTTGGCGTCTAGCCAATGAAATGGGACTTCTATTGTACGCGATGATGTCACGAAACCCGGCTCCTCGTGGATGTTCTGAACCTCATCAGTTTTGCACCTCATATATCGAGGTGCAAGTTCATATATAATCAAGTTCTCAAATTCACATCTACGTGCTCTCGAGTATTGCTACTCTTTTACCTTTATAAATGCTGTCGACTTATGAATTTACACATGGTTTGTCTGAAAGCACATTAAAAACACCACATAGACACATAAACAACATTAAAAGCTGGATTTACACCACAGGGGGACTTTAAAGATCAAACATGCATTTATATATTTATATATTTTACTATATATAACTTTATATATATATACTAGTCTGGGACTAGACGTAAGCCTTGAGGGTTAGTGTCCTGCTGGGGTTGCATTACACAAACGTGACTTAATATTTGAAAAAGTTATATATACTGAGTGAAATTACATTGGTTACTGAACAGATAGGAATCCTATTCTGAGTTAGGGGGATGTTGTAGTAATCCAATGATCTACAGTTTATCTGAGACAGAAAGTGGTTTTCCTGTCAACATTGTGAACACGATTTCAGCTCGAGCTCTTTTGAGCACAGAGAATCCTTTGGTTGCTCCTCATTGATATTCCAGGCTCTTCTGAGGGATTGTGCAGTCACTGTGTTGCGGTATTTCCTGAGAACGCTGTTGGCCCATGTCAGACGCTGATGCATGTTCTGTGAGTTTGCCATCATCTGATATTGCAGTATTGGTCTGTCATTGAAGACCAGCCCTGTTGTCTGCCGTGTGCTTCTGCACTATGAATACTAATGAGCATTTGAGTTCACTGTAGACAGATGACAGGACAGAAGCCTTTGAATCGGGCTCATGCATGAATAACAGTGTTTTTAAAGTCCCATAAATAGGGATATGAACATTTTGGCCGATACCGATAACCGATAATTCTTTATATTTCAAAGCCGATAACCGATATATTTTTGAAGAGCCTGATTACAAAATCAATAGTCTCACCATTAAAAGCCATGTACCAAGCACACAATTTTAATGATGTTCTCATTATAATTTTATGTAGCCTATATGACGAACTTGCACTGTATTTTCCTTTTTTGAAGTGATTCAAATCATATTTCAAGCAATTCAAAACCATCATGTTGAACAGTGCGCATCTGAAGTGTCTCAGCTGGAGGAAATAATACATTACTTATCGACTTTAATATATCGGCCAAATTTTCTTATTGGGCCGATATTGATAACATTAAAAATAAACATATATCGACCGAACCCGATAACCGATAATGCTTTATAATTGAAAGCCGATAACCGATATATTTGCCGATAAATCTAAATCCGAATTTTTATATAATTGTTGAGAGCCTGAATACAAAAACAAAGGTCTCACCATTAAAAGCCATGTCCCAAACACACAATTATAATGTTCTCATGATAACTGTATGTAGCCGATATGACAGACTTGCGCTGCACATGTTGCACTGACCTGTAATTTCCTTTACAAAGTGATTCTAATCATATTTCAAGCAATTCAAACCCATCATGTTGAACAGTGTGCATCTGAAGGAAATAATCCATTATTCATCGGCTTTAATGTATTGGCCACACTTTCTTATCGGGCCGATAACGATAACATTACAAATGAACAGATATCGGCCGATACCGATACGGTGGCAGATATATCGAGCATCCCTAACCATAAGTGAATAATACTCTCTGAAACAGTGTTTTTGAACCTTTTACAGAAAAAGCTTGAGAGTCAATGTGGCCTAAATGTTCTTTAGAAGCTTAAATAAAGTCATGTTATGTTGAAATGGTTTTTGCAATGCGCCTCAAGTCGTTTGACACTGGCTTTAGTTTGAGTTGTGTTGATGTGATGGTGTGTTTTTGGTCTGCAGGGATTGAGCTGTGTCTGCCGGGTTGGCGTTTCTCCATGACCATGGTGGCGAACTTCATGGTGTTGGCGGGTCAGCTGCTCATGCCAGGACTCGCTGCCCTCTGTCGGGATTGGCAGATTTTGCAAGTCGTTATAATCTGCCCCCTCTTACTCATGCTGTCCTACATCTGGTGAGTGCCGCTGCCGTTCTTACAACCAACATCTCACTGTTTATTTTAATTGTGTTCGAGTTTACAATGAAAGTTTATAGCAATACTGCAGCAACCGAAGCGAGCAGCAAACACATCAGTGCACTACTGTTTCCACACTTCATTAAGCAGCTCTATCGGTTTCAAATACGCTTCAAAAGAAAGGTTTCTTAAGAACCACATTAGCACATTAGAAGGATTATATAACACTGTGTTCCTTTAGTAGACTGGAGGAATGGCTGCTGAAAACGGGGCTTTGCTTCACAGTTAAAAGCCTAAAAATAAAGTACTTTAAACAATAGCAGTAATATTTTCACACACAAGCAAACTTTTTCAGGTTTCAATGTCGTAGTATAAATGTACTATTTACCATAAACCATTATTAATTTAACAGTTAACGGCAATGTGTTAAAACATGCTAGCAACATACTAAATCATGTTAACAACATGTTAAAACACGGTAGCAATGTGCTAATTCATGTTGGAGACATGCAACAATGTGTTAAATTAGGCTAGAAAAGTCATGTAAGCAAAATACTAATCGTGGCAAAAGCATTATAAAACATTTTAGCAATGTGTTAAATCATGTGAACAAAATGACATAGAAAACATGATTATGACTGGAGACTCTTCTCATACTGTATAGAATACAATTCCTTTGTATAAAAACTTTTACATTTAAATTAATTGGGATACATTAGTTAAGACATTGTAAACTAACATTAACAAACAATGAGCAATTACATTTTTTAACTAATAACTAATAACTGCTTTAAATATTTTGCTCATTGTTTGTTCATGTTAGTTAATGTTAACAAATGAGACCTTATTGTAAAGTGTAACCAGAGAAGATATTTATCATCATATGACACATGGAACCACTTCATTCTATACTTCATTCAGTGATGAAGTGTTTAGTCCAGATTAGATTAGGTTTGAGCCTGTAGTTTAATACGCTGTGATCATAATAAAGTAAAGTATACCCTTCATGCTCCAGGATTTTCCCAGAATCTGTGCGCTGGCTGCTTGCGACTCAGCAGTACAGCCGCTCCAAATGGATCGTGGAGCGCGTCGCCACGAAGAACGGCATCGATCTAGAGCATGATGCTGAGGAACTCGTGACAGGTACACAACCAATGACAATACAGATGATGGGCTGTGTTTATAATGTGCAAAATATATTCAATAACTAGTGAAGCCAACTTTTACAGCTATAATATAACAGCCACCTGTTTTAATCTAAGATATACATTTGAACTAAGCAAAATATGAAGAAAATATTGCAAAATATAACCATACTTAGAACTGAACTAAATCGGAAAAATTGTAAAATGACTGAAAGCAAGCCAATCTCTAGTACACTGTCCACATTCTGCTATTAACAAGTCAAAAAACTCGCTGTTAGCATAGAAACGATCGACCGATAGTGGATTTTACCGATAACTAGGTTGGACCACACTGGCCGGTAACCGATTAATCGACCGATAGTGGATTTTACCGATAACTAGGTTGGACCACGCTGGGCGGTAACGGATTAATCGACCGATAGTGGATTTTAACGATAGCGGTAACTAGGTTGGACCACGCTGGCCGATAACCGATTAATCGACGGATAGTGGATTTTAGTGATAACTAGGTAGGACCACGCTGGCCGGTAACCGATTAATTGACCGATAGTGGATTTTACCGATAGCGGTAACTAGGTTGGACCACGCTGGCCGATAACCGATTAATTGACCGATAGTGGATTTTACCGATAGCGGTAACTAGGTTGGACCACGCTGTCCGGTAACCGATTAATTGACCGATAGTGGATTTTACCGATAGCGGTAACTAGGTTGGACCACGCTGGCCGATAACCGATTAATTGACCGATAGTGGATTTTACCGATAGCGGTAACTAGGTTGGACCACGCTGTCCGGTAACCGATTAATTGACCGATAGTGGATTTTACCGATAGCGATAACTAGGTTGGACCACGCTGGCCAATAACCGATTAATCGACCGATAGTGGATTTTAACGATAGCGGTAACTAGGTTGGACCACGCTGGCCGATAACCGATTAATCGACGGATAGTGGATTTTAGTGATAACTAGGTAGGACCACGCTGGCCGGTAACCGATTAATTGACCGATAGTGGATTTTACCGATAGCGATAACTAGGTTGGACCACGCTGTCCGGTAACCGATTAATTGACCGATAGTGGATTTTACCGATAGCGGTAACTAGGTTGGACCACGCTGTCCGGTAACCGATTAATTGACCGATAGTGGATTTTACCGATAGCGATAACTAGGTTGGACCACGCTGGCCAATAACCGATTAATCGACCGATAGTGGATTTTAACGATAGCGGTAACTAGGTTGGACCACGCTGGGCGGTAACGGATTAATCGACCGATAGTGGATTTTAACGATAGCGGTAACTAGGTTGGACCACGCTGGCCGATAACCGATTAATCGACGGATAGTGGATTTTAGTGATAACTAGGTAGGACCACGCTGGCCGGTAACCGATTAATTGACCGATAGTGGATTTTACCGATAGCGGTAACTAGGTTGGACCACGCTGGCCGATAACCGATTAATTGACCGATAGTGGATTTTACCGATAGCGGTAACTAGGTTGGACCACGCTGTCCGGTAACCGATTAATTGACCGATAGTGGATTTTACCGATAGCGGTAACTAGGTTGGACCACGCTGGCCGATAACCGATTAATTGACCGATAGTGGATTTTACCGATAGCGGTAACTAGGTTGGACCACGCTGTCCGGTAACCGATTAATTGACCGATAGTGGATTTTACCGATAGCGATAACTAGGTTGGACCACGCTGGCCAATAACCGATTAATCGACCGATAGTGGATTTTAACGATAGCGGTAACTAGGTTGGACCACGCTGGCCGATAACCGATTAATCGACGGATAGTGGATTTTAGTGATAACTAGGTAGGACCACGCTGGCCGGTAACCGATTATTTGACCGATAGTGGATTTTACCGATAGCGATAACTAGGTTGGACCACGCTGTCCGGTAACCGATTAATTGACCGATAGTGGATTTTACCGATAGCGGTAACTAGGTTGGACCACGCTGTCCGGTAACCGATTAATTGACCGATAGTGGATTTTACCGATAGCGATAACTAGGTTGGACCACGCTGGCCAATAACCGATTAATCGACCGATAGTGGATTTTAACGATAGCGGTAACTAGGTTGGACCACGCTGGCCGATAACCGATTAATCGACGGATAGTGGATTTTAGTGATAACTAGGTAGGACCACGCTGGCCGGTAACCGATTAATTGACCGATAGTGGATTTTACCGATAGCGATAACTAGGTTGGACCACGCTGTCCGGTAACCGATTAATTGACCGATAGTGGATTTTACCGATAGCGGTAACTAAGTTGGACCACGCTGTCCGGTAACCGATTAATTGACCGATAGTGGATTTTACCGATAGCGGTAACTAGGTTGGACCACGCTGGCCGGTAACCGATTAATTGACCGATAGTGGATTTTACCGATAGCGGTAACTAGGTTGGACCATGCTGGCCGATAACCGATTAATTGACCGATAGTGGATTTTACCGATAGCGATAACTAGGTTGGACCACGCTGGCCAATAACCGATTAATCGACCGATAGTGGATTTTAACGATAGCGGTAACTAGGTTGGACCACGCTGGCCGATAACCGATTAATCGACGGATAGTGGATTTTAGTGATAACTAGGTTGGACCACGCTGGCCGGTAACCGATTAATTGACCGATAGTGGATTTTACCGATAGCGATAACTAGGTTGGACCACGCTGTCCGGTAACCGATTAATTGACCGATAGTGGATTTTACCGATAGCGGTAACTAGGTTGGACCACGCTGTCCGGTAACCGATTAATTGACCGATAGTGGATTTTACCGATAGCGGTAACTAGGTTGGACCACGCTGTCCGGTAACCGATTAATTGACCGATAGTGGATTTTACCGATAGCGGTAACTAGGTTGGACCACGCTGTCCGGTAACCGATTAATTGACCGATAGTGGATTTTACCGATAACGGTAACTAGGTTGGACCACACTGGCCGGTAACCAATTAATTGACCGATAGTGGATTTTACCGATAGCGATAACTAGGTTGGACCACACTGGCCGGTAACCGATTAATTGACCGATAGTGGATTTTACCGATAGCGATAACTAGGTTGGACCACGCTGTCCGGTAACCGATTAATTGACCAATAGTGGATTTTACCGATAGCGGTAACTAGGTTGGACCACGCTGTCCGGTAACCGATTAATCGACGGATAGTGGATTTTAGTGATAACTAGGTAGGACCACGCTGGCCGGTAACCGATTAATTGACCGATAGTGGATTTTACCGATAACGGTAACTAGGTTGGACCACGCTGGCCGATAACCGATTAATCGACGGATAGTGGATTTTAGTGATAACTAGGTAGGACCACGCTGGCCGGTAACCGATTAATTGACCGATAGTGGATTTTACCGATAGCGATAACTAGGTTGGACCACGCTGTCCGGTAACCGATTAATTGACCGATAGTGGATTTTACCGATAGCGGTAACTAGGTTGGACCACGCTGTCCGGTAACCGATTAATTGACCGATAGTGGATTTTACCGATAGCGGTAACTAGGTTGGACCACGCTGTCCGGTAACCGATTAATTGACCGATAGTGGATTTTACCGATAGCGGTAACTAGGTTGGACCACGCTGTCCGGTAACCGATTAATTGACCGATAGTGGATTTTACCGATAACGGTAACTAGGTTGGACCACACTGGCCGGTAACCGATTAATTGACCGATAGTGGATTTTACCGATAGCGATAACTAGGTTGGACCACACTGGCCGGTAACCGATTAATTGACCGGTAGTGGATTTTACCGATAACGGTAACTAGGTTGGACCACGCTGGCCAGTAACCGATTAATTGACCGATAGTGGATTTCACCGATAGCGGTAACTAGGTTGGACCACACTGGCCGGTAACCGATTAATTGACCGGTAGTGGATTTTACCGATTACGGTAACTAGGTTGGACCACGCTGGCCAGTAACCGATTAATTGACCGATAGTGGATTTTACCGATAACGGTAACTAGGTTGGACCACGCTGGCCGGTAACCGATTAATTGACCGATAGTGGATTTTACCGATAGCGGTAACTAGGTTGGACCACACTGGCCGGTAACCGATTAATTGACCGATAGTGGATTTTACCGATAACGGTAACTAGGTTGGACCACGCTGGCCAGTAACCGATTAATTGACCGATAGTGGATTTTACCGATAGCGGTAACTAGGTTGGACCATGCTGGCCGATAACCGATTAATTGACCGATAATGGATTTTACCGATAACGGTAACTAGGTTGGACCACACTGGCCGGTAACCGATTAATTGACCGGTAGTGGATTTTACCGATTACGGTAACTAGGTTGGACCACGCTGGCCGGTAACCGATTAATTGACCGATAGTGGATTTTACCGATAGCGGTAACTAGGTTGGACCACGCTGGCCGGTAACCAATTAATTGACCGATAGTGGATTTTAATGATAACTAGGTTGGACCACGCTGGCCGGTAACCATTTCAGAATGCATTTAAATGTCCTAAAGAAATAATTCACCATTATTTATTCACCTTGTTCAAAACCGGTTTGGCTTTCTTCTGTGGAACATAAAACCGGTTTGGCTAACCGGACTTATCCGGTTTCTGCATTTTACCAGACCTCAGTTTCCGTCAGACCGGCGTCTGCGCAGGGGAAAGTTGCTTGCACAATATAAAGTCAACATTGCAAGTTGTGTTTGTGCTGTGGCTACTGACAGTGTAAACACTCCAGAAGCCATGGTGACTATCTGTGACACAGCATTACATCACAGCATATCCTACTTATTGCCTTAATGCATGTTCATGGTCATATCACTTCTGTGTCATGTCTACTTTAAGACATTAGAGCACTCAGGTGTCCTGTGATATACTGTATTTGAGTGGAGTTATTCAGAGAAATGTCACTGTTGTACTGCATATGATTTCTCAAGTCCAGTCAAATTTATTTGTATCGCACTTTTCACAATACACATTGTTTCAAAGCGGCTTTATAGAAAATCATACTCATGTGGATAATATCTTAACATCTTCATTTCTTATAGTTGCATTTAGCAGATTTGAGCTGGGTGATATAGTTTACATTTTGCGACGGTATAAGCAATAAAGAGTTATGCTATATATTAAATATAACCTTGCGTAAGTATACTGGATGTATGCGGATAAAATTGGACATACTGTACTTGTATATCCAGATTTAAAGACGGCGTTAATATTTTACATTTTGCAATGAAATAAATCAGGGAGTTGAGATTTTCTATATTGTATATTGCTGTGGATAAAGTTGGATATACTGTAAAATATATCCAACTTTATATATAGTGCTGTGCAGTGCAATAATGCATGATGTCTTTGTGCACACACACACACACACACACACACACAAACAGCCTAAGTGTGTTTGATTGATGCATTTATGATCATCTTTCATGATATGATGTATTATGCAACGCTGAAGTCTTTCTCCTCCAGAATGTGAAGTCTCCGTGTGAAGAAAACAGATTCCTTATCAAAATAGAACAGCAATATAATCCCATTTGTTCAGTCATCCAGTGGCAGGAATACCAACCGTGAATTTAAAATGTATATGTGATTTGAGCATTCGAATATTTTGAACAAATGTTTTCTTTTCTTCATTGGTTTCAGAGCTGAACCGAGCCCTGCCGAAGCAATCCAAGAAGACCTGCATTGTGAAGATGGTTGGCACAAGGAACCTGTGGAAGAATATAGTCGTGCTCTGCGTCAACTCGTAAATTAATTTTTATTACGCAAAAATTAAATACATTTTTTTATTTGTGTCTATTTGCACATCTAGTCTAGTGTGAAATATGATGATTATTAATTATTAAAAACATTCTGCTGCTATTAAAGTGCTAGTTCACCCAAAATAAAAATTCTGTCATTTTCTCCTCCTCGTGTTGTTCCAAACCCGTTCATCTTCAGAACACAAATCAAGATCTCTTTGATGAAAATGAGAAATTTCTGTTCCTCCATTGAAGGTCCAGGGAACCAAAACCTTAGAAGATCCCAAAAGGTCATAAAGCTGCTGTAAAATAAATGCATATGAATCAAGTGGTTTAATTCAAGTCTTCTGAAGAGATACGATCACTTTATATGATTCACATTTAATTTAGGTTATAAACAATTATACTGTACACATTTGGCACATCGCGCACTTTTGAGCTTCCGTGTTTACTGTATGTGACATGCTCTATGTATGCGTGTCGAATATTGTTTGTATGTAAATAAAAGCCTAAATTAAATCTGTTCATCATGTATGTTCTTCACAAGACTTGGATGAAATTAAATAACTTGATTATTAAGCCTTTTTGGATCTTCAAAGTTACCTGGAAGGGACAGAAGCCTCTCAAATTTCATTAAAAGTATATTCATTTGTGTTTCGCAGATGAATGGAAGTCTTACAGGTTTGGAACGATGATGTATGAGTAATTGATGACAGATTTTCATTTTTTGGTGAACCAACCCTTTAACCCTGTGTGTCTCTCCCTCTCAGACTGACGGGTTATGGCATACACCACTGCTTTGCACGCAGCATGATGGAGCAGGACCCCCCTATCCAGAAAAGCATGTTTCATAACTTCTACGTCCACTACTACACCATGGCGGGCATCGCGGTGGTTTCATGCGTGTCCCTGTGCCCTGCGGTGGGCGTGATGGGCCGGCGTGGGGGACTCCTCATGTTCATGATCATCACAGCCCTGGCATCTCTCCTTCAGCTGGGCCTGCTAAACCGTGAGTGAACACACACACACACACACACACACACACACTGCAATCAATCATACAGAAACACCATCAGTGACTACATTTACGTGCACATGCAGAAAGCAACGCTCTGAGCCTTCATGTAAACACAAACCAAATGCCATTTTTCTTAGCCATTGAAGAGATTAAAGGGATAGTTCACCCAAAAATAAAAATTACCGCATGATTTACTCACCCTGAAGTCATCCTAGGTGTGTATGGCTTTCTTCTTTCAGACGAATACAATCTGAATTATATTAAAAAATGTCATGGCTCTTCCAAGCTTTATAATGAGAGTGAATGACTGTTTCTCTTTTGAAGTCATAAAAGTGCATCTATCCATCATAAAAGTGCATCTATCCATCATAAAAGTGCATCTGTCCATCATAAAAGTGCATCTATCCATCATAAAAGTGCATCTATCCATCATAAAAGTGCATCTATCCATGATGAAAGTGCATCTAGTCATCATAAAAGTGCATCTATCCATGATGAAAGTGCATCTATCCATGATGAAAGTGCATCTAGTCATCATAAAAGTGCATCTATCCATCATAAAAGTGCATCTATCATCATAAAAGTGCATCTGCCCATCATAAAAGTGCATCTATCCATCATAAAAGTGCATCTATCCATCATAAAAGTGCATCTGTCCATCATAAAAGTGCATCCATCCATCATAAAAGTGCATCTATTCATCATAAAAGTGCATCTGTCCATCATAAAAGTGCATCTATCCATCATAAAAGTGCATCTGTCCATCATAAAAGTGCATCTGTCCATCATAAAAGTGCATCCATCCATCATAAAAGTGCATCTATCCATCATAAAAGTGCATCTATCCATCATAAAAGTGCATCTGTCCATCATAAAAGTGCATCCATCCATCATAAAAGTCCATCTATCCATCATAAAAGTGCATCTGTCCATCATAAAAGTGCATCCATCCATCATAAAAGTGCATCCATTCATCATAAAAGTGCATCTGTCCATCATAAAAGTGCATCTGTCCATCATAAAAGTGCATCTATCCATGATAAAAGTGCATCTATCCATCATAAAAGTGCATCTATCCATCATAAAAGTGCATCTGTCCATCATAAAAGTGTATCTATCCATCATAAAAGTGCATCTAACCATGATAAAAGTGCATCTATCCATCATAAAAGTGCATCTATCCATCATAAAAGTGCATCTGTCCATCATAAAAGTGTATCTATCCATCATAAAAGTGTATCTATCCATCATAAAAGTGCATCTATCCATCATAAAAGTGCATCTGTCCATCATAAAAGTGTATCTATCCATCATAAAAGTGCATCTATTCATCATAAAAGTGCATCTGTCCATCATAAAAGTGTATCTATCCATCATAAAAGTGCATCTATCCATGATAAAAGTGCATCTATCCATCATAAAAGTGCATCTATCCATCATAAAAGTGCATCTGTCCATCATAAAAGTGTATCTATCCATCATAAAAGTGTATCTATCCATCATAAAAGTGCATCTATCCATCATAAAAGTGCATCTGTCCATCATAAAAGTGTATCTATCCATCATAAAAGTGCATCTATTCATCATAAAAGTGCATCCATCCATCATAAAAGTGCATCTGTCCATCATAAAAGTGCATCTATCCATCATAAAAGTGCATCTGTCCATCATAAAAGTGTATCTATCCATCATAAAAGTGCATCTATTCATCATAAAAGTGCATCCATCCATCATAAAAGTGCATCTGTCCATCATAAAAGTGCATCTATCCATCATAAAAGTGCATCCATCCATCATAAAAGTGCATCTGTCCATCATAAAAGTGCATCCATCCATCATAAAAGTGCATCCATCCATCATAAAAGTGCATCTGTCCATCATAAAAGTGCATCTGTCCATCATAAAAGTGCATCTGTCCATTATAAAAGTGCATCTATCGATGATAGGCCTTGTATAAGCCTCATTACAGATCGTGCATGTGTGTTGAAAACACCAACAACTAAAGTAACAGAGCTTTAGCCGCTTTGTGGTGGAACCGCATGTACAGGATAAGCAGGTTAAGAGTGCATCATTAACACACACGTCTATTACTGGCTTTCTGCTGTGCATGTAAACATTGTGAATATACCAGAAGCTCAAAACAAAAGCTTTTAAACACTACAGATTCTTTTGGGGGAATTTGAAGCGCACTACATTTTACAAGCACAACTGCATATCTTAATGTATTTCATTAGCCATGAGCTGCAAACCACTTGGGTTGACTTTTGTTGTTGTTGTTGTTTATCCCCTGATGTGCTCCGTCCATGACGAATGAAGTGTTTGGGAAGTACAGTGTTCAGCTGAATATAGGTAAAGTATAAACACAATGCTATTTACACAGTTTCTCTTTATTGCTTTATTTCACATGATTTGTCATGATATCACCTATGCCAGTTTAATATGCGGGTCAAGATTATAATAAAATAATTGTCTTTTTTTTTAAATTAGAATTGTACATTTTCTTTCAATATCTTCTAATTTAAACAATAATGCTAAATAACTGGAAAAGTCCTTTTATTTTTTATTTTTCAGAGGTATTTTGTGTACAGAGTTATGTCAGGACAATTATACACAACCTCAAAAAAATCCCACATCATCTTTAAACGGCTTTTAAAAACATGTTATTTTGGTGTGCATGTAAACAGTCTATTTACCACAGTCTGAAAAATATTTCCAGGTATGTTTTGTCTCCGCCGCTGTCAAAAAGCTTGAGTAAATCAGCCAAAGTAATGTAGAGGCATTATTAAAGTTCTCCAGAAAACACTTTTTGTATGTTTATATATATATATATATATATATATACCACATTAGGGCAGAAAGCACTTTAGGAGAATTTGAGGCTGAAAAATAACTAAAGCTGAACCTTCATTTGACATTGCAACAAGATAATTACCCAATACAAGCAATAACATCCAGGTTTAAACTGGAAAGTATTTGCAAGAAAGCCTTCAAACGTCAAAACAGATGATGGTGCTCTATGCCAAGAAGTGGACAAAAGGTTATCCACGTATCCTAGATATCCTTAACTGCATATTTGTTGAAAACACACTTTTTTTTTTTCATGAGTTTTACATCATTTTTATATTAAGTTGCATATGTGATGTTTGTTTTTTGAGGAAAAACCAATAAATGACTCCTCATCTTGTGTTCTTCTCCCTGGATCCCCACAGAGAGCTCAGATACGCTGAAGTACAACTTTTCCGTGGCTTTCTCCATGATTGGCATGTTCTCCTCCCACGCTGTCAGCAACCTAAGCATCTTTTTTTGTGCTGAAATCACGCCTACTGTTATTAGGTAAGCCAGGCACATGGGCCACTTGCAAGATTATGGGGGGAAATCATAAAGGCTAGAGGTCTTTCTTGTTTAGACCTTCCTGGTTAGTAATAATTTGTATTTCCCCCATTGATTTTTATGGGTATTTAATTCCAGTTACGTTAGATAACACTTTGGTGGTAAAATCTGATAATGCATAAAAACCCTTTGATGTTTAGGGTCCAGTGTTTTGATAAATATCGGTTTGATTTTAATGCAATCGTGCATCATTTAATTTAATTTATTAAAGCAGGCCATTATCTATATTAGTTATTGTCTATAGTATGTGGTGGTACTCCATTTTATACATGGTGATACTCCATTTTACACTGCTTTATCCACCTTATTTTGCAAGGAAGTAAGCAGTTTTCTGTGAATGTGCGATATTTCCGATTCATTAGCCGCTATAGGGAAATAACTACAAGAATAACAGTGCAGTAAACGGTGGAACTATTTGTGCAACAAACCAGTGTTTATAATTACAACAAAACATTAACTCTTTCCCTGCCATTCACGGAATGTTCCGCCAATCTGTTTTTGATTGATTGATATCTTTATTTTGAACATGTAAATACAATTTTTTTTTTAAATCATAGAAAGAAAAACAAATAATGGTAAAAAAACAGATGAACAACAAAATAAAACTCCATACTTTCCAGTACTTAAAAAAAACAACTCTATTTACATGTACAAAAAGTAAAACTTATGTACTCCTACCCCTGTTTTTCCACTGTTATACGGTAGGGGGCGCTATTACGCATCATCTGAAAGAATACAATACCTCCAGATCAAAACCGGCGAAGAAGAAGCGGAAACAAGCGATAGAAGCATTGCTGACGCACATGTACATTATAGCGCAATCTTTAGACATTCAACAGCATATAAATCAAAACTCCCTAACGTTACCGAAGGAAATGTCGAACCCATGAAAAGGAAACGACTGTGAAGCTTTGGGGGTGTAGATGTTTTGATCATCATTCTGAATCTGATCCAGACTTAGCATTTGCCAAAAACGCGATTTTCTCAGCTTTTTGTTCAAAATGTTGCTTTTTTATCCACATTCAAGTGTTGAATGAATGAAGACACAGCGCAATCACTACAATATTTGTTCCCCCTGTTCTTTCTTTTAATATATATATCGCATGCTCAACTAAATATTCCGAGGGCCATGAAAGTTTTGTGAAAATTATCAAAAATGCTGGTGGGGACTGGCAACTTGTTTTAAAAATGCTGGCAGGGAAAGAGTTAAATAATAATATGCCAAGAAATACCAGTTTGCAATATGAATCAGCATGACAAGCATTTACGAGATGACACCGGAAGCCAGACACATTCAATTTACAAACGAGCGCACCCAATCTTAGGGTAAAATAAGGTGTGTATCCCCCTAACCTTGTGCTTTTGTGTGCTGTGTAGGGGCGGTGGGCTCGGCCTGGTCCTGGCCAGCGCTGGTTTCGGCATGCTGACTGCCCCCATCATGGAGCTGCACAACCAGAAAGGCTATTTTCTGCATCATATCATTTTCGCCTGCTGCACTCTTATCTGCATCATTTGCATCTTGCTGCTGCCAGAGACTCGCAACCAACCCCTACCAGAAACATTAGCGGATGCTGAAAGTTACACACGCCAACCGTTACTGCCTCCTCGCAAGCCAGGCGAGCAACGCCTTCTACTGACCAAGTCAGACAGCCGCGAGTACGCAAGGGTCGGCGACACGCCTCTCCACGAAGCAGTCGCCACTGCGATCTCCACTATGGACTCCACCGCCTCGTCCGCCATCGATCTTGCCATGCTCATTGATGCCCCTGTTCAGCAAGTCACGGGTCAGGTAGAGATATTCAGCATGAAGACCTTGACTTCTGCCCAAGAGCTCAAGCAAACAAATGAGGAGTATCCCAAATCTGCAACCACTCCGGAGTCGTCTGCCGAGGATCCTCTCCTCGCCTCTATCCCTAACACCTCTACACCAATTACTATTCACTTGTCTAAATCAGAGTCCCCTCCTGATGTTGTCCTAACCCTTCAGTCTTCTTCCACTGCGGACTCCTCTTTGTTTAATAACAATCATGCCTCTCCCTTATCGACCAAAATCCAAACTCCTTCATTTGTAGATAAAGCTATTCCTCTTGCTTCGGAGTCTCCCTTACCAGGGGCTAATGCTTGCAACATCCAAGTTGAAGTGGACTCGTCAGGTCCTTCTTCTTCGCCACCGCTTGTCACCGACTCTAGCGTCCACCTGACAGCGTCCTCCCCATTAGACAACGCCATTCCTCTCTGCGCAATTAACCTGTCTGATCCATCCACTGGACAATCACCCAATCAGTCTTTAAATGACATTCCTCCCTCTTCCTCAATAGACTCTCCTGTTAATCTAGTCTCTGATATTCTAGCCCCTTCCCCAACACAACTCTCATTATCACCAGTGCTAGACCCATCTGGTCAAGTCAATGGCATCCCAGCTTCTTCACCCATAGATTCCGGCACTCTCTTGTTACACTTAGTTGCTCCGCCTGCGATGAACTCCATAGGATCTGGTCCCCCTTCACCAGCTCCACTGGAGTCTTTAGGTAATGGCACTACTCTTCATGCCACTGTGGATTCAACGGCACCTCGTGCCACAAGCACGGACTCTGTTACAGAATCTGGCCACCCGCTCATGGCGGACTTGACCGTTTCCTCACCTATCGACTCAGGTATTCCTACAGACGCTGACTTGAACATCACGGAAACCAGTGGGGAGACGTCCTCATGACGGACACACTCGCTCCACATGGCTTGATGGGCAGCCTTATTATTCTCACTGCTTGTCAAGAAGCAGTTCTTGCCGTGGGGAGGCAATGTTAGAAGTATTGTTATTTTCCAGCAGCCATGACCCGAGAATGGCGAAGCAAGGAGAGTTTGGCTGAAAGGGAACGACCATGCGCAAAGGGTTTTTATTCTCCCTTGGTTTCCAAGCCTTCTTACTGTGGTGCCAGTATCTGCTTTTTTGGGGCAGCTAGATCCAAAATTCCATGCGTTATCATTGAGCTTCTATTATTAAAAACGCTAAGAACAATAGTGTCAAGTTCTTACTTGAGTTACTCTGGAATTCCATGTAGTCTAGTGGTTAGGCTTACTCATAAATGCTTGTTTGATAGTAATTAACATTTAGGATCAAATGTGAGTAATGTTCTGTAATTAATTGACTGGAATGAAGTTGCTATATTCAGCATCTGTGTGGTCCAGTATCAAAGGGAAATTTCTCACAAACCCAACAGTGGTATATTTAACGCTGGGAATGTTTGCCGATGTTGTCCTGAAGTGAACGGCAAATGCCTCTATAAAGTAGGTGTCAAATAAGCAGTTCATGTTCAGGAAGTATATGTGACGAACCATACGCATATTTTCAAACCTGTTGTAAAATAGATACTTACAGAGAGACAGCTCAGTGGTATACATGTGGTATGTTTTATGAAGCTAATATGTTTTGGTTGAGCTAATCGCTGATTCTGGTGGGGAAAAAATTATTTTGAGGAATACAGATGATACTTCATGGTTGTGTAACACTGTCTAAGCGACCCACGATACACTTAATCAAGTGTATGCAACAAACTTATTGTGAATGTGAAAACGTTTTGTAATTTATGCTATTGTGGTACTGATGTACAGTGGTACTGACTGCTTTACTTTAAAAAAAAAGAAGAAAAAAAAGGTTATGTTGTCCGTATCAATGAGTGTACGCCCATTGGTATTTTGTTACCATGTCTGTGTAAATGTATGTGGCACTTTATCGTTCACAATGACAAAAAAAGCATGTGAACATCTAAAATGAATGATTTCAAAGTAATGAGAACAAATATGAATTTTGAGGAATGTGTACAATTGTCATCTTTCATTTGTGGTCACTTTATACTCACAGCAATAATGTCTTTACAATATGCGACCCATATGAGTTTAAATCATTTCAAATATCTTTTATTTTTTATTATTGTTTTGTATCCTTAATCACAGTAAAGAGCATTAATATTAAATATTAATTTTTTTGATGTCTGAAATTGTCCCCTTAAATGTTGTATCATGCTTATTTGTAAGTTTGGCAACAGTTGGCCGTGATCGAGCATTAAACTACTAGAGGAATATTTCATCAAGAAAGATGGATCTAAACCTGTACTTGGCACAAAATGCAACATTACTTTGGAAAACTTGGATTTTTCCAATGATTGTGATATTTTTAATCAATCCAGCTAACATTTAGTTTCTTTTTATCTTCAATAAAACGTATTATGGCCCTACAGTATGTACAACTTTTAAAAACTGTTTTTGATGATTTGTTACTTTGTCTTTTGTTATTCCAAGGACAGGGGCATTTTCTTATCACATATATCATGGCCTTCTTCTATCTGGTGACCTCCTTTAGCTTTCACTGCTGTATTCCTGTTTAGCTATTCAGGATATCGTGTTACATTTGATATGAAACCATTTTTCATTTCCAATCTGACTCGTTAGCGTGATTGATTTGGCTTTGTTTTGCCTCAAACACTTTGGACGAATCTCAAGACTCTTGTTTTTAAAAAGTAAAAGTCCAGACCATTCAGTCATTCAACGAACCTAGCCAAGAAATGTGTGAGAAAAATACTTTATGTAAAAGTGTGCAAATACTGAAGCAAACACCTCAATACTTGAGAGCAATAGAGTTACCTTCAATGCTTGTGCCATTAAGCCACATGTATTATGTTGTACAATGTTATTAACATTATGTGTTATGTTGTACAATGTTATTCAGGTCGCTTCAAACATATAAAATCTAACTCTCTGAGCAAGATTGTCTTCAAAGTGTTGCTTTGCCATGACAGTAGTTGATCTAAAAGAGAAAACCTGAAGACTTGAATCTACTGTCTGCTATAGTGTATACTTGTGTTCTCAATGTGTCAAGACCGTAGATTAACACACGACCCAATGGGTGAACGTGATTTCACCAAGTGCCACATGTTCCTGGATCAACATCTTTGTTGATCCTGGATCAACTTTCCAATCAACCAATAAGATTTGAGGGACAAGTTTACAGTTTATGTCAAGTTTAGGCTTAGAACCAGGGTGAAGTACTTACACATCAGTGCTATTCACCTTTCATTACCCTCTGATTTTAGGGAAAAGTTATGGGTAGGGTTAGGTTTAGGGGTAGGGATTGGGTAAGGACTACATTTTGGGACAGGAATGTTGATCCAGGACCATGTCTTACTTGGCAAAATCACAGTGACCCAACACAATGACACATGACACCGAGCTTGTGTAGCTAGAAGTACTTGAGTTCATTTACTTTTTTGACCCAACTCTCCTCTATTAAACCAAACTTAGCATTAAGTTCATCTGTTCCCCCACTCATTATTTGACGCTCCACTAGACATTAAGAGATTTTCATTAGGGTCAAATCGGATCACAAACAAAAAATGTCCCACACGCGACACAGCTCTACTTGAACAGATTTGAACTACAGTATATAACCTAATGCTATGACTACTTAGGAAAGCTATATTGTGACGATCCTCTCATAATCGATACCCATTACCCATTATAAGTCACAGCAATAAGAACAATATTGGTAATATTCTCAATTCCAAGGCTGCATCCTTCCAAGGCCGTGAAGATTGGGCCGAGCGTTTTCTATGGGACGGTCCAGCCTCCAGAGGGTTGTTCTTGTCGCCTAACTTCTGTGACAGCTGCCGTTGTAATATCCCGTCGTTGTAAATATGCTAACCTTGGTCCATTCATGTATATAATAAAGATTACATTCCTTTGCGGCCCAGGGACACAAGGACGCAGCCTCTGAATTGGGACACACAACTCGTTTTCCAGTTGCACCACTTGACATGCTAGACGTGTGCGCATATGTGAAGGTCGGCTGCCAATGGGAGTAAATAGTGCAGTGTTTGTTTAATGCTAAATTGCTAAGGTACTGTATTCTTCACATTGGTCCCAGACAGCAACATAGTGTCGGCCCAGATCCGGCCCGGATGCATGTGTACCGGATATGGGCCGACACTACGTTGCTGTCTAGGGTGGATCAACCACTATATATTTACCTCTTTTACAGTTAGTATATTTTTTTGTAACCTCTTTCAGATTTTATAAGTACTAATTGTGGTAAAGCCAAAACATGTCCTGGACACCAGATCTGTCATCTGTGACTCGCTTTGACCTAGAAAACTGAATTTTAGCTAGTCGATGTAAACTCTTCCAAATTCAAATTTGTGAATATACCTCATTGACGGGTATTTGATACAGGTATTGCCTGAGAATGTATGCTCCGCTCCAAGAGCACAGGCAAGAGGATGAATGTCAAGAAAATTGATTGTTTTGGGTTTCATGTACATTTTTTAACATACATAATGCACTTGTATATAAAGTTGTATGTGTCGTAATATACTTTAATGAATAAAATATATTTGTTGAGATATTTATTTATTTATTTATTTAATTACTGATGGATGTGTAAATATGTTGGCTGATAAAATAGTTTTTAAAATTATATGTACCCTGTAATCCAGAATAATCAGCAGTTTTGTTCTGTATGGGACCAGGTTTCTCCAAATATCTGACAATGCCTCATGATTTACTGCATTTGAATCAGCATACAATTGTCAGTGGTAAAAAAATATGGATTTTTTTTTTGTTACATTATTATTTGATTTATTATGCAATGAATGCTCAAAATACAAAATAGTAGGGATGGGCGATATGACCAAAATCTGCATCACAATACGAGTGAGTTTCACAGTAACAAAAATATCATGATATAGTCTTTTTTATATATAGACACGTGGTGCGATACAATACCAAATTTTTAAGGAGTGTTATGTTTTTCAGGTAGGTCTACCTAACAGTAAGAACTAATATAGAAATCAGATAAAGTAATGAAATGTAAAATGAAGCACTGCATAATCTTCACTGTATGAATTAAATACACAGTGATATGTATTAACGCTACTAAAGTTATTCAGTCTAGAGCGGTGAGTGATTTTCTCTGTCTTTTGTTGTTTGATTAACACTAATGACAGACAGCAGGTTTATTAGGCCACTGTCACTTTAAGAGCGAATGCACTGATCCAATACACTGTTACACATCCACTTCTCCCGACGGTTTACCTTCACTCAAGACATAAACTGGCTATATTTACATGAATACTTATATTTTCACGTCATTTTTAAACTGCACACAGAAAACCGCAAATACTGCATTCAAGTTCTGTTTAGTGGCATATTGCACTTTTAATAACTCTTCTTAACATCAAGCATGTCCCGTTCTTTATTACTCGTTCGTTCATGTTTCTTTATCGCGCTAATGTGTCAATAACTAAAAGCACTAAAAGCTGCACGGATATGCATACGCGTTATATAAACGATATAGAAGTTGTTAAATTAATTCAACAAAAAACAATATCGTCATTTCACTCATAAAGCAAGCAGTAGCAATGTTTAAAGGGGTGGTATAATGCCCTTTTCCCAAGATGTAAAATAAGTCTCTGATGTCCCCAGAGTGTGTATGTGAAGTTTTACCTCAAATACCGCACAGATATTTGTATATAGCATGTTAAAATGGTCACTTTTTGACGGTGAGCAAAATGCACTGTTTTTGTGTGTGTCCCTTTAAATGCAAATGAGCTGCTGCTCCCACAGAGGGCGGAGCTACAAGAGCTCGTGTCCTTTTACCTCACACACACACTGAACATTTCAAAAACTTTAGGCCTATTAATATGTTGAAACCGGAGTCAGACAAATATGAAGAGACTCAAGAAGAAGTGACAACATGTAGAAGCAACAGGACATCTCTGAATGGTTAGTTGATGAATTTATGTAGCTGATGTGGAGTTATCTTCTAGTCATTGATTAGCATATTCTGTCATGATAATCTATAAATCGTGTCCAGAGGCGGGGTTTATGTAAATCTTAGGGTTTGTGATGTCACTAAACCGGGAGAAAGCTCGTGTAGTCGTTAGTTGTAGTCCTTAAAAATAAATGTCTTTAAAATAAAATATCTCCCTTTGAACTTTGAGCGTTGTAACTTTGCAGATGTTGTTTATGCTCAAACAGCAACATTACACACTAACTAAAGTTAAAAAAAGTGAAACCATAATCAACCATTCCTTTAATAAACACATTCGACTGGCTAGTTGATAAAACCAACAACCAATTAGCTATCAAGACTGACTAGCTAATGCTATGTTTCCCTTTTATTCCTTCATGCTGACATGTTAAGGCCCCACACAGTAACATACCGGTAGTGTCGGCCCAGATCCGGCTCACATCTGGACCGGTGTGTGTGGAGTCCGTGAGCTGCAGCTCGGCTGGCCTGAACTAGTTGATACAGGAGACCAGCAGCCGAATAAAGAGGAACACTGAAACACGGCCCATCCCTGTTTAGAGTACAATAACTAATGCCAAAGGATCAAGGAAAATGTGTTTTCTCGTTTCATTCCCCCTTTAAGTTCATCTTCAGCATTACATACGGGAGCCCAACGGTTGTACTCGTCAGTCCAGAACTACTCAGTCTATCTTCACCTGGGTCACCATTGACCTTCACCTGGGTCAGTAAACCGTAACAGTTTAACCCCACGTTTAAGGCCTGCTGTACTTCTGGGTTAAGTGAAGTTTCACAGTTGTAATTCTGGAATGGATTATAAATTGCAGTTCTAGAATGTCAAAAACGTCAGAATGAGTCATGTAGACAACAGATAAACAATCAAAAATGAACAGCGGAATAACAGTCCAAACACACTTGATCAGCGCTGTAGATGTCCAGTTCATTTAAAGCATTTGTCAGCTTGTTTACACCTTCAGCTGCCCAACTCAGACATACATCATGAAGAAATATGAATGCTCTGACCAGAACAGTGATTTATAGTGTTCTGTGCAATGCATTGTCTTCCTCTTCCTCATCCTCATCATCACTGCAAGAAACCTTCCATTTACAAAGAGTCATGTTAGTCATGTTGGAAACTTTGTGTAAAAACCCACTCAGCAACATGAGTCGGCCCGGATCCGGCCCAAACACGTGGATTCCACACATAGCAGACGTGGGCCGACACCATTTTTGCTCAGGGAATAAAACTAGTTATTTGCCATAGTATCCCATCACAAAAGAGTTTTATTTTATACTTTTATTCCATGTTTACAATTTTATTTCATTTCCTCACAAAATGCTATTAAACACTATGTACATAACATGGTGGTTTGACTTTTTGGGCAACGGAGAATAAAAATAACTAATTTAGAGCAATCGATTTAAAACCTATAAGCTGCTCCTCCACGTGGCTAAGCATGTCAAATGTATGTTATTGACTTATGGCGTTTATTGATTAATATGACTGTTTATTTCTTTATTTGAGTGTCTGGATCTACAGTGCTTTACAGTCTCCATAGAGTCTCGCTGCCCTCTGCAGGAAAGAATTGGGAGTAAACAAATACATTCGTTTAGAGTGTTGACTAGAAACAAAACTAGGATTACAACTTGTTAAGTAATCAACTAATTGAATATTATGTGGCAGGCGCGTGCGTTCTGTCTTACGCGTTGACTCAGCATTTGGAACGCTCGAGTCGAACGCGCGTCACCGAGCACGAGTGACGGAGTGACACGCGCACGCGCACGCGCTGCTGCAGCACTTCCACTGCATCAAACCCGTGGCTCGTGATTGGCTGAGAGCGAGTGAGCTAAAGCCGAGTGTGAAGAAGATCTCAGAGTCGCATCAGCTGCAGTGACACACACACCGCATCCTTCCAGCATCACACACACAGCTGAGCACCATGAGGGAGATCGTTCATATCCAGGCCGGGCAGTGCGGCAACCAGATCGGTGCCAAGGTAAGACTGTAGCCTATGTGTTTATATCTCTAAGCTTTTCGTAAACTATCATTTTCCCCTCTATTGCAAAAGAAGGAATGGGAAGAAAAGTGCTCGCTTTGCTATGTGCACGAACAAGGCGATTGTGTTTAGTGGCATCATGTGTGCTGAATGGGTGTGGTGAGCAGACCCTCGGTGATCCTGTGCTGAGAGAACCGCAGTGTGCGTCATTCCACACATCTATTCACCACTAAACCTGCTAAATCATTATAAGTGTGCTCGTTTCACAGCATTATCATCATTAGTGTGCGTCATTTCACAACTGCACATGTATTCACCACTAAACCTGCATTATCATCATTAGTGTGCTCATTTCACAGCATAAACCTGCTTTATCATCATTAGTGTGCTCATTTCACAGCATAAACCTGCTTTATCATCCTTGTGTTTCAGTTCTGGGAGGTGATCAGTGATGAACACGGGATTGATCCCACTGGCAGTTATCAAGGTGACAGTGAACTGCAGCTGGAGAGGATAAGTGTTTATTACAATGAGGCGTCTGGTAAGTCAGAGATATGCTTTTTGCAATGAGTTTTGCATGTATTTGTTAGGTCATGGGGTCCAGATGGTCAGTTTTCCCAGCTCTGGTCCTCTGATCATAGATTGCAGCTGTCAGTTATTGACTATTTCAGAAGCCCGTCTGACCTCCTTCTTCTAGGCTACATTACAGATTTTAAATCAAACATCAGATTGCGTTATTTAAAGATTGTGGGGTATTAGCACTATCGTTCAACAGCACCCAGATGAGTCTTTGTGTTTCTGGAGAGTAGTTGTGTAGCTGCTGATGTCAATAAAAGGGTGGAGCAGGGAAAGAAGATGGATGACGCTGCGGTTTACCAGGGTCAGCATTTACTAGGCAGGCATGAGATCAGGGTAGTGGGGTATTCAATTATGCATATATTAAATTACTTTATAAAAAAAATGATGCATTTAATGCATATACTGTATTTCATTCATTTGAATAGAAGCTCTGGATCTTGGTTTTAGATTGATTTTTTTTTTCCTTTGTATGTTCCATACTTTGTATGTTTACACCAAGCCTATTTTATTTCACAGGAAACAAATATGTCCCTCGTGCCATCCTGGTGGACCTGGAGCCTGGCACTATGGACTCGGTCCGCTCTGGCCCATTTGGACAAATCTTCAGGCCAGATAATTTTGTGTTTGGTATGTTTATCACATATTTGATTTTGAACATCTGTGAATTTATGAGATTCTACTTTGTTGCTTTAAAAAAAAAAAAACATCGACAGAATCCAGTGCTCTTTTTTTACGTAACAGAAGATGCTGAGCTCCAAAAGCACCATAAAAGCAGACAATACAATTTGTGTGCAAAATTCCACATCTTCTAAGGCTATAGAATAGATTTAAAGCTATATAAAACGGGCTGAAATCTGCTTGTTATTCACTGAAAATCTTCCCCTCTGCCATACTTCTCAATCCACAGTCATTCGATTAAAATATACTGGGCATGCATAACCAAAAATATATATTTTTATATAAATATATATTTTTCAACCGCACATGCTGGTGATTAAATACTCAAAATTGAAGGACCACTAGGTAGTGTGCATGCATTGAATTCATCCATTCATGCGCTATATCAATTAAGCATAATTTGAAAGGCTTAAGGCCCAGATGCACTTCAAGCTGAATCTAAGAGTGAATGACGTCATTTCAAACTAAATCTGGACAAAACAAAGTCCTTTGAAGTTTCTTTCGGTGGTTTGAACCTCCTGCCAGCACAACGATTTTTCCAAAAACTGTTAAAAACCTTCGAGCTGCATGCAGTTGGACCATGACGATTGTGTAATACATGGGTGGGGCTCGAGGCTCCTCCCTCTCTTTAGACGTAAATCTCTTCAGCTTCTACAAGAACATGAACACACTGAACAGCTGCTTTATAGCTGAATGTGGTTGCAATTATAGCTGAAATTCTGATTCCTGGAACTGAAGAAATTTGCCAAACTCCATTCCCAGCAGCGTGGGCATTATTTGCAACCAGTATACCGTTCGTCATGTATTCCGTATTTCTTCTTTTACTCCTGAGAAAAAATGAAACAGAACTTTGGTGTTAATATAACTGGGCATTTACGCACTCAACTGTGTGCAAGATGGAGAGGATGGTAAACATGACATCACTTCTCTTCTCTGATGACGAGGGCGGGGCAACCTGTCACTCACACGAGATCCACCAATAGCAAACCACAACCATCCAATCATTTCCCCATAGACACAATCAAGCCCCGCCCTACATTTGTAGGGTCATGATTTTTTTTTTTTTTTTTTTTAGATATACAGCAAATCGTAACTGTTTTTGGTGATCGGTTTGGGAAGAAAAGATTATTGCACCTTCCACCAAAAATAATATAGAATTCATAGACAATTGGAAATGTTTTTGGGGCAGACCCAACCTGTTGAACAGAGATGGTATTCATCCCTCCTGGGATGGTGCCGTTCTTCTCTCTAATAATATGGCACATAGTCTTAGCGCTCAAACGTGACAATCTGGGGCTCAGGTCAGGAAGCAGACAGACTGGCTAAACGACCGTCTGCCAGCGGCCTCACGTCACTGAGGTCAGATAAATCCCATCACATAGAGACTCTTTCACCTAGATATCATCACAGAGACTATTTGTCTCTTGTCTGTTCCCCGAATTAGGACATACAAAAAACTCCCAAACAAAGGTTAAAAATTGTATTGATGTTCAACAAATAAAAAACAGATATAATACAGATGAACAAATGATAAAGCTTGGGTTGCTGAATATTCAATCCCTTACTTCAAAAGCACTTATTGTTAATAATATGATTACAGATTATAACCTAGATGTGCTGTGTTTGACAGAAACCTGGCTAAAACCAGACAATTACATTACTCACCTGCAAACTCCTCAGAGTAAAAAAGGTGACAGTGTCGCGGGGGGCGTTACTTACTCTCGCATCAGCTGTTGTGTAAACACTCACATTTAACTTACCCACATCACGAATGACTGCCTAACTCGTGAGCGTGCACGACAACCTAATATTCAGGGTAGCTCAGAATTCGAGTAGTAGCCGTATATCTCGGAACTCAGGGCAGAGCACCCGGCTAACGATAAGCCTAGCTAACGTTACAGGGATATTCCACCATTTGGGGAATTAAGCTCATTTTCCACCTCCCCTCGAGTAAAACAATTGTTTTTTTACCGTTTTGGAAACCATTCAGCCGATCTCCGGGTCTGGCGGTACCACTTTTAGCATAGCTTAACGTAATTCATAGGTATGACGACAATACAATATTATTGTAAATTATATCAAATAAAAAAGCTTTATTTAGTCAATTACAGGCCGATCTCGAATCTACCCCACCTGTCAAATATACTAGAAAAGGCAGTATCCTCACAACTATGTTCCTTTTTAGAAAGAAATGATATCTGCGAGGATTTCCAGTCCGGATTTAGACCGTACCATAGCACTGAGACAGCTCTCGTTAGAGTCACAAATGATTTGCTCTTATCATCCGACCATGGTTGTATCTCTCTATTAGTGTTACTCGATCTTAGTGCTGCATTTGACACTATCCACCACAACATTCTTTTAAATAGACTCAAAAATTATGTTGGCATTAGTGGAATTGCATTAGCATGGTTTAAATACTTATCTGACTATTATCAGTTTGTAGCAGTAAATGAAGAGATGTCTTATCGATCACAAGTTCAGTATGGCGTACCACAAGGCTCAGTACTAGGACCGCTGCTGTTCACTCTGTACATGCTACCATTAGTGAAAACTAATGCCATGGTTCCTAATGATATCTCCTGTTATGCTGATGATACGCAGCTCTATATTTCTTCACACCCTGACGAAACTTACCAATCCACAAAATTAACGGAATGCATAGCTGAAATAAAAAATTGGTTGACTAGTAATTTCCTACTACTAAATTCTGAAAAAACAGAGATTCTAATTATTGGACAAATAACTTCCACACGTAATAACCTAGAATACTGTCTAACACTTGATGGATGTTCAATAAAGTCTTCGTCGTTGGTTAGGAACCTGGGTGTGCTCTTTGATACCAATCTCTCATTTGAAAGTCACGTTTCTAGTATCTGTAAAAATGCATTCTTCCATCTTAAAAATATATCTAAATGACGTCATTTGCTCTCAATGACAAATGCGGAACAATTAGTTCATGCGTTCATGACCTCAAGGCTAGATTATTGTAATGCTCTACTGGGTGGTTGCCCTGCACGCTTAATAAACAAACTACAGCTAGTTCAAAACGCAGCAGCTCGAGTTCTTACCAGAACCAGGAAATATGACCATATTAGCCCGGTTCTGTCAACACTGCATTGGCTCCCTTTTAAACATCGTATACATTTAAAAATATTGCTGATTATTTACAAAGCACTAAATGGTTTAGCTCCGCAGTACTTGAGCGAGCTCTTAAAGCATTATAGTCCTTCACGTCTTTTGCGATCTGCAAAACTCCGGCCAGTTGATAATACCTAGAATATCAAAATCGCCTGCTGGCGGAAGATCCTTTTCCTATTTAGCACTAAAACTTTGGAACAGTCTTCCTACCATTGTCCGGGAAGCAGACACACTCTGCCAGTTTAAATCTAGACTAAAAACATCTCTTTGACCTAGCATACCCATAACACATTATCAACTTCTATAATTTAATGTTAGGCTGCATAAATTAGGTCAGCCGGAAACGGGAACACTTCCTATAAAAACTGATGAACTCGTTACATAATAAGAAGAATGGCGTCTACGCTAATATTAGTCTCTTTGTTTATCCTGGAGTTTACCGCAGTCCTCGGACCCAAGCCGTATCCAGATCTGATGAAGGACATGCTCCTGGACACGGCGACAATGCAGTCCTGAAGTGTCCACTAGTCTTTCCCCTGTGAAGGCCTCCTTCCCTTTACCTCTGTACCGATAAAACGTTGTCAAAATAATATCGGTTCATATATAAAATGATGTGTTATGAATTTAAGGCCAGACAAGTTATTTGTTGAGGTCAATTTGTAAAGAAAGACTACACGCCTGTGCACATATTCAAACGCGCATACCTATGGACTGAACACGTAATACGCATGTGCACGCCGTCAGCATTTACACAGGTTTGCGTTTTTAAAGTTTACGCGGAGATAACTTTTTAAAAACAAATTCAGCGCTTGCACCTTGGAACCTATTTCAAGTGGCCCCTAAGTTAATAACTAATGATCAATCTCTGTTACTTTAAATTCCTATTATCACTGTAAAGCTGCTAAGTCTTGTTTTATTAAAAGCGCTATATAAATGAAGGTGACTTGACCGTCCACCCTATGCTGATGTTAAACTGGTATTTATAAGGGAAAACTGTGTTTTAAATAGTGACGTCGTATGGCAGGGGTTCTCAACTTTAGCCCTCGCAGTTCACTTTCCTGCAGAGTTCAGCTCCAACCCTGATCAAACTTTGTAAAGTTGTCTGTTGCTTTCTAGTAATCTTGAGGACCTTGATGAGCTTGTTCAGCTGAGTTTGAGTAGGGCTGGACCCAAGCTCTGCAGGAAAGTGGCAAATGTTGAGAATATTATATGGACTACTTTTATGGTGCTGTTCTTGTCAAAGCTCAACAGCCCACCCTTATACCCATACAGAAAAACAGTACTCTGGGGTATATTTTGTGCTCAAAGTAAACAGCATGAGGGCGAGTAAATAATGACACTTAAAGCCGGGTGCACACTGTGTGATTTTAGCCATGATTTGCCCGTCTGAGACAAATTTTTCAAATCCTAAAAGATTCCTCTGTCCTAGGCTAAAATCTGAAGTTTTTGATCCCTAATTTGATATGTTCACCGACAGCCGATTAATGACCATTGCGATAAAACTTTACCTCTGACAAAAAATTTTGGCAGTGTCAGAAGATTTGACTCACAGTCGTGCAGTGTGACTTGTCCTACAACGACCGACAAATGGTCTTAGTTTTTCAAGAACAGCTGTGACCAAAATTAACGTTACAGATTTCTTTGTAGCCACCATTTCAATCCCGCGTGTAATGCAGCTCATTGTCACAGAACTTGTCATCGATTGATGTAAAACTGCGGACGAGGTAGTAAATAACAACTGAGATCTTACAGTGTGACATGACTTACAGCGAGGATCAGGTTCGTACAGTCTGACAAGTAACAATCGTAAAGTACTATTATAAATCGCACAGTGTGCACCCGGCTTAATTTGTGGTTCAGCTAACCCTTTAACTCAATACTTGAAGTGTTTTTGATTTTATCAAGTTAAAACTGGGACACGTGGGCTTTCTTTTAGGTCAAAGCGGAGCTGGGAACAATTGGGCCAAAGGCCACTACACAGAGGGAGCGGAGTTGGTGGACTCAGTGCTGGACGTGGTGAGGAAGGAGTCTGAGAACTGCGACTGCCTGCAGGGCTTCCAGCTCACGCACTCCCTGGGGGGGGGCACCGGCTCCGGCATGGGCACTCTCCTCATCAGCAAGATTCGCGAGGAGTATCCCGACCGGATCATGAACACTTTCAGCGTCATGCCTTCACCCAAAGTGTCCGACACAGTGGTGGAGCCCTACAACGCGACACTCTCTGTGCATCAACTGGTGGAGAACACCGACGAGACCTTCTGCATTGACAACGAAGCACTCTACGATATTTGCTTTCGCACTCTTAAACTCACCACTCCTACTTACGGCGACCTGAACCACCTTGTTTCGGCGACCATGAGTGGGGTCACCACTTGCCTGCGATTCCCCGGTCAACTTAACGCCGACTTGCGCAAGCTGGCCGTCAACATGGTGCCCTTCCCTCGCCTCCACTTCTTCATGCCTGGTTTCGCTCCTCTGACAAGTCGTGGAAGCCAGCAGTATCGTGCCCTTTCAGTGCCAGAGCTCACGCAGCAGATGTTCGACGCCAAGAACATGATGGCGGCCTGCGACCCGCGCCACGGACGATACCTCACAGTTGCCGCCATCTTCCGTGGACGCATGTCCATGAAGGAGGTGGACGAGCAGATGCTGAGCGTTCAGAACAAGAACAGTAGCTACTTCGTGGAATGGATCCCCAACAACGTCAAGACCGCAGTCTGCGACATCCCACCACGCGGGCTCAAAATGTCCGCCACATTCATCGGCAACAGCACGGCCATTCAAGAGCTGTTCCGCAGGATTTCAGAGCAGTTCACCGCCATGTTCAGACGCAAGGCTTTCCTGCACTGGTACACTGGTGAGGGAATGGACGAGATGGAGTTCACAGAGGCCGAGAGCAACATGAACGACCTGGTCTCCGAGTACCAGCAGTACCAAGACGCCACTGCGGATGAAGTGGGCGAGTATGAGGAGGACGATCTTGAAGAGGAGGAGGACGCTCGTCATTGAGTCAGCTCCCGAAGTGATGCTCGCTGCAGAGGCAAACGACGTCCAGTAATGGGTGGAACTTGACCTAGTCCGGCTTTACCACTGTGGAGCTTAACCGAATTAAGTTTAGGGATAGGGTTAGGGTGTGGCTGGACCTTCAAGCTCCACCCCTTATGTCCAGAGAGAGGGATCTGGACGTCAAGCTCCACCCATTGGCTCTGCGGTGAGCAGCCTCTCCTAACAGCTGATAGCCATGTGGTTTAACATGTAGTTTTCAAAACCTTTGCATCTAGTTTATCTTAAAAATTTCCATAGCAATGCAAACAGTGCCGCTACATCATAATTCAAAAGGTGCTATTGTGTTTAATTGATGTTCAGAAAAGATTCAGTGAACAGCGATCAGGCCATCTTAGGTAAACTTACGATATGTTTTGTAACATCTGCTTCAAACTGCAGTTGCCATGTTAAAAAAAATAAAATGGTCACTAAAAAAACACTGTCTCGTGTCAAAAATGGTTCGATTCAAGTTTACACATTCACTCATTGCTCTCAAATAATTTACGGAAGAATGTTTTTTTTATGTGTAAACCGGTAAAACCAGTCACAACAAGGGGTGTCCAGTCCTGCTACTCTAGGGACACTTTCCAGCAAAGTTTAGCTCCGACTCTCCTGCCTGGACGTTTCCAGTGATCCAGAAACCCTTGATTAGCTGGTTCAGGTGTATTTGTTTGGGTCTAGAGCTAAACTTTGCAGGAAGGTGTCCCTTCAGGAGCAGGATTGGACCACTGTCTTAAGCTAAGAAATACTCTTAGTGCTTGGCATGGTAATTGGTATGACAATGAAAATGTTTGGTCTTGGCAGAATAGAGCTGCTACTGTCAATATTTACACCTGCTGTCTGCTGTGAGCAAGCAAGACATGCTGATGCTGTACAATATAGCGTACATGAATTACCCGTAGCAGATCTATACAGGTGGAGCTGGGGAAGGTGGAGGGTTTCTGAAAGCTGCGCCATCTAGAGTTTCATGACAAAACTTTGTATTTATACTTACATTTTTTTTTTTAACCAGGTTTAGGTCCAAGCTGAAGCTTGTTACATTTTTTTTCTCCAATTCCAGCATAATATGCAGAACTTCCTGTTTGTTGACCAATGGCAAAAGGGGGGAGGTTAATGGGAAAGCTCTCTCAACACATGCTCCTTTATACATTCAACTAGTTATGAGTTTCCCTTTTTACTGGAACAAGTAACAGTTTTGGTAAAAATGAAACTTTACCACCATATTATACAATTTCCAAGTAATAAAGGCGAGGATTATAATACACTATGACTTTCACTTAGATTGTTTTGCCCCATTTACAGTATAGACTCGAAGGTAGAGCCATTCTGCAGATTTTGGCCAGTGTGAATTGACAGCTTTCAAAGAAAATCACAGTTTATGTTGGCTTCAGACTATGGCTGCATTCACATTGAACGGTTTAAGTGACCCAGTTCCCACTTTTGGCACAGATCGGATATGGCCCATGAACGTGTAAGCAGGAATTAGCTGTGTACCAATTGAAGCTGCACAAAGGTAAACCGAGAATTTGGTCCAGCCTATGGAGGATTGCTATCGCCGTGACAGCCGACGAGCACCAGTGACGCGTGTACTAGAAAGTTCAATTCAACTGAACACAAAACAAGGTTTGTTTAACTTGGTCCATTTATGCACATTAGAGTATAATCTCTTAAGAAATTCTATAAAATTGCATCTTAGTAAGACAAATAAATAAAAAAAGTAACCACTTTAAAAGGTTTTCACACATTTGGATCATTAGATCTTAAAAGCAAGTTGAAACCCAATACTTTCTAAAAGTGTAATCTGGCATTTTCAAGGGAAATGCTGTCATCACCAGCTCACGATGAATCTTGGGATAGTCTGCTCTGTAAAGCATCCACTCCTGCTGTGCTTCTTGGCCCAGGAAACAAAGGAGGCGTTTGTAGGCCGCATTTAAAGGAGCCTTTGAATCGGGCCAGTCTTCATCACGCCACTGCCTGGGAGCGCAGCCTTCGAAGGACGCAGCCTCTGAGTTTGGACAGCTATTGTTTTCATATGTTATGCATCGCATAGCAACAAGACACATGCTTCTGCAGGAGTGTGTTCACATCTGGTGTTTTAATCCGTCTCTTTTATCATTACCTGTTACCATTGACAAAGTCGCCTAGTGTTTTAAAATCCGTTCCGATTTTAAAAGTTGTGTAGTGCATTTCAGCATTTTGACCAGTTGTTGACAGGATTGTGAGCGTTGTACACCTGAATGAAGGCAGACCTGAATCTGATTGGCTCGACTGCAGTGTCTTATTGGAAGATCAGTAACATGCATTAAGAAAACAAGTCAATATCCATTTCACGCCAACTTTAAAAACACAAAGATCATTTTTTATCTCTTTCAAACTTTATTGCATTGAAGTGAAATCAGTCTTCAAATGTGTAAACATGGATTCTAAAAGTATTTTAAACTCTACCAAAGACATTCTTGATTTTCTCAATATAAATATTCAACATTCAAGTGAAAAAAACCAAAAAATTTCATGTTTTGCATTAGAAGAGATGCAATTAATGCATAGTACTTAACATCACTCAATTATGATAAAAGTACAAAACTGAGCAATTCTACATGTGAAACCCAGCCCAAGACGAGATTGTTTTAGCAACAATATAATGGCAAATCAATAACCATTTATACTAATATTTAAAAGCTACATTAAACATTGCTCCTCTTAAAAGTGCTTTATGAACTAGTGCCCGCACAAACATCACACAATCTTTAAATGATTCTTGTTATTACTACAGTACAAAAGAACCCATTGGCCACTTTACATGTTTGTCATCATGAGATTCAGAGGTGGTGAATGATTGTCTCGGAGATCAATTTGATCCAGCTAAGCACAGCCGCGAATTGTATCAGAGGAGCAGGGCGCTAGCGTGAGCAGTGGTGTGTGTGTTCAGTAGTGTCACACTGAGGTACCGCCGTCACATGTCCTCGTCTCGCCCCAGTGAGATGACGCCGCAGTCTGTAGAGCATCTGCGCAGACGTGCCGTGGTCAACGCCTCAGCGCTCGGACACTGGCCGTGGCCTCTGCAGGACAGAACACACACGTGGAGTTACAGTGGATACTCGTCTACTCACACAACATGTCCCAGTTCACACACTTGAGCGCACATGAAGTGAGTGTGTGTCTCGAGTCTGAAAACACCAAAGCTCAGTGCTCTTAACACACACTCTCTCTAACATCAGTTCAGAACGGTAAGCGTATCCCATCATTCTTCATGTTCAGGAACTCCTGTGCCTCCTTTCAAGGACAACTTTCTAGTGTGCAGTAAAGTAATTCGGTTTTAACATATTTATTTGTAAAATGTAGCGTTGCACAATATATATTGCTGCAGAGATGTGTATTTTGTAGGGCTGTGCAATGATATTATGTAAACACAAACTTTTAATGTGTGTGTACTGTGTAGAATTACACATACATATATTATGTAAACACAAACTTTTATTTTGGATGTGATTAATCGTTGCACAGCACTAGTATTTTGAATCACTTAATTAGATGCACCATCATTAAATCATGTTGTTACATTAGAAGTAATGAACACGTCCAGAAGTTTATTTGAACTTTATCAGCGTGTTAAGTTGCCAGTCAGTAATCGCATTTTTGATCATATTCACAAAAAGTATGGCCTTCAGAATACTTTCTGAATATGTAAACAGTGAACATCTCTAGAGAAAGAACAGAGCCTCTGCTTTTAAACAAAAAGAAAAACATTTTATTCTAGCTTGTCATCGTTTTTTAAAGAGATTCCCTGAGAACTGCTCGAGAGCTCTCCCGGCCGTGATTAAATCCTCTGTCTGGTTATTGCTGCGCAGAAAGTTAGTTAGTGGAGCAAGTTATCGGATTAGTGAGACACTAAAGACCTTACTCCCGAGTAGGGATGTAACGATTCACTCGCAACCGGTTGAAAATCGATAAAAATGTGTGACGATTCAAGTCGGTTGAAATGTTAAACGAATCGCGATACACGTTTTAAACCGCAGGGCGCGTTTACTATAGCCTACTGTGAAGTTGTGAACCTCGCTTTACAATAGCACAATAGCAGCGAGCACACACTGGCGTGAAGCTAGCGAGTGTTTTCACTTCATTCATGGAACTTGATCTTGTGTGAGCCAAGCTCAACTTCCATAGGAATGAACTGAAAACGCTCGGTTTGCTCCGCTCGCGCCGCACCAGTGTGTGCCATAGACTGGTGTGCACGTGCCGTCAAACAGTAGACATGGCTTTGGCGACGGCAAGCGTAGATGTTGACGTTGACTCATCCAAATCGGAGGTGTGGCGGCATTTTGACTTTCCGTAGACTAATAATAATCACCACCGTGAGTAACACCAGTCACCTCCGTTTTCATGTAAAAGTCATTAATACTACAATTGCGAGAGCCACGGAGATCACAAGGTGCATCAGTGTTTCCGTGGCAACCAGGTGTTGTATTTATTTTACTATCTCTTTCTCTAAATGTGTTTTTTTTTTACTCTTACTAGTGTAATGATACAAATTATAACAAAATTAGAATCTTGCCTTTATTACAATGTAAAACCCCTGTCAATCTGGTACTACTAATTTTACACAGTCTTTTACATAGTGTGCGAAGGTACCAGTGTCCAGCCTCTTGACCAAACAGACAGAAAGACTGAGTTGAAACAACCTTGAAGGGAATTTTTTTAATGTAGTTTTATTATTTGACAAATATATTTTAAATTAAAAAGAAATGTGCAGCATTTTGTCTGAGAAATAATAAAAGGGACACTTTTGTCTTAAATCTCATTTGTTAAAAAAATCGTGAGAAAATCGTATCGTGAAACCAGTATCGTGAATCGTATCGCATCGTGAGATGAGTGAATCGTTACATCCCTACTCCCGAGTGATCGAGTCGAGCGTCGTCTCGCTCCTTTCGACTCGGTGTGCGACCCCCTTTAGGTGGGGTTAGATGCGCTCAGGTAACTGGAATACTTAGGCTTTTTACACGGTCAGAAAAGCTACTCTTGCGAGTCAACCAACGCCAGTCACCGGAGTATAGCTGTGCAGGTGTCAGGGACACTTGGTTCAACTCAGGCTCTCGGGGGACAATTCTACCACAGTCCCATTGGGAAAACAAAAGATCTACACACACTTGGGGGTTTCAGGAGCTCTTGAACACTAGAATCCCAGAAATACGTCATGTAAAGTAGACAAGTTATCCAGAGCAATCACAGACTGCACGTGTGGCTGCAGGGCCTGGAGCTTCAGAAGACTTCAGGAGCCATCTGGACTGCTTTACAATGCTTTTTGACATTTTCACTATGTTTTTCAAGCTCCAAAATGATGACAGAGCTTAAAGACATTAATAAAGGTTCCTAAATTCTCCTTGTGTGTTCCACTGAAAAAAACAACAACCCCAAATTGGTCATATGTTGGTTTGGAAGGACGTAAGGGCGAGTAAATAAATGACCGAACTTCCACTTTGGGAGGAATATTTCTTTAAAAGGGGACCTATTAAGCCCTTTTTCACAAGACACAACATAAGTCTCAGGTGTCCACAGAGTGTGTCTGAAGTTTCAGCTCAAAATACCCCACAGATCATTTATTATAGCTTGTCCCCATTTAGGTGTGATTTTGTGTCCCTTTAAATGCAAATGAGCTTCTTTCCAGAGAGGGCGGAGCCTCTACAGCTCGAGCTCCAGATACTCCAGCAACTACTAAACTGGAGAATGGCAGAAGCGTGTTCAGCCTCACATGTTGAAACCGGAGTCGGACACTGATGGAGAGGCGTTTCGGAGTGGATAGTGGATAGATAAATGCATGCAGTTATTGTGGATCCAAGCTAACAGGGCAGATCGTCAGCAGTCATGGGCTCTTATGTAAGAGGAGGGGGAAATCTGGACCCGCTCGTTTGCAGACACGGTTTAGGATTTATGGGGATTATATATATATATATATATATATATATATTAGGGGTGGAACGGTACACAGACGTCACGGTTCGGTACGATTTCGGTACAATGGAGTGAATAGCAAAACAAAAATATAGAAGGCTTTTTTATAAATGGCTTAAGCCTTGTATTTTTTAAATAAGTTTTATTAATAAAGGCATAGAACCAGTTTATTTGTAGTGCACTGACAGTAGTTTTATATAATTCGTTTATTAATTAAATTATTAAATAGACGAAAAGACCTTGAGATATGTTTGGTAATTGTACCTGAATGAATTTAAAATTAATTTGCTATTTCAGATCAATATATTTGTTTTCCTTCATTTTAATTAACCCTAACTTTATTCTCATCTGAATTATAAATAATTGATTTCCGTATAAAATAATACTACCATTAAAAACTTTTGTTAACAGTTGTAGGTTACAGTTTGAGTTTAGAGTGTGACAAAAGCACAATGTGGTGTGTTATTGCGTAAACATAAAAGTAAACAATTTGCAGTTTTAATGATGTCCTGTATGAAAAAAATGACGGTGTACGTTTTTATGTTTCCACTGTTCGATCGCCCGTGCCTCTCTCTCTCACACACACACACCCTGTTCGATCGCGCGATTCGCGCCCGCGCCTCTCTCTCGCACGTGCGCGCACACACACACACACACAGTTCGATCGCGCGATTCGCGCCCGCGCCTCTCTCTCTCTCTCTCTCTCTCTCTCTCTCTCTCTCTCTCTCTCTCTCTCTCTCTCTCTCTCTCTCTCTCTCTCTCTCTCTCTCTCTCTCTCTCTCTCTCTCTCTCTCTCTCTCTCTCTCTCTCTCTCTCTCTCTCTCTCTCTCTCTCTCTCTCTCTCTCTCGCGCGCGCACACACACACACACTCCAGTATTGCATTCTTGATCGCAGCCTGTTCATTGCTGCGTTCACAGTCACACCAAAAGCGAATAGAGCGAAATTTATCGCTTTTTTTATTTGTACCGTGTATTCTCCGTGCAAATTCGTGCACCGAACCGTGGCGCCCGTACCGTTTCGGTTCAATACGAATACATGTACCGTTCCACCCCTAATATATATAAAAAAAAAGAGTGGGTGTATTTTGACCATTATTGACAGGTGTGTGTAAAGAACCAGTGTTGAAACTCCGTACACAAGTGAATTTTGCACAATAGGTGCCCTTTAAAGCTCACGGGCCGTTGAGTACCTGCTGTCTGGGATGAGGTGCAGTGTGCGGTACAGGTCAGCAGTGGAGGGCATCCTCACCGGCACAGACTTAGGCGTGGAGAACGCGCTGTAGGACGGGGACTTGTTCTGGAGGGGTGGAGTGGACTGCAGTTTGGCCTCAGGTCCAGCACCTAAACACAGGTGGATTCAAAATATCCTAAATGAATACACTCGAGGAGCTGACCACAAAATATATGACGAGCTTCACAAGCAGAGAAGTGGCGCATGTGAAGCCGAAGGTCGTTCTCAGTTGTTCCGTGATGACACATGGGAGATACTCACTGACGGATAAAGCACTGTGAGGGTCAGCCAGCGCAGGTCGCTTACGGTCTACAAATGGAGTCATGTTCAGAAACTGGGTCTTCAGCCACGCCGCTCGATCCTCCTCAAAGGATTTCCTCTGAAGAGGGAAAACACAGCGAGTTAAAAACAGCTTTTTCCCATGTTCAACCTCATTATAATAATCCATACGCAGAATAAAGGGGCGGGGCCTGGTTGAGTTAGTCAGTAGTGTGTTAAACTAGCGGTTATGGAAAGGGGCGGGACATTTCCCAAACACACTCGAAGCGCTCGACCAATCACAACACACTGCTCCAGCCGACCAATCAGAGCACAGTGTGCTTTTCAGAAGGAGGGGCTTCATAGAGACAGAAAGTAAACAGAGCGTTACTGACAGACTGGGAAGAGAGGAGCCGCAACAATGGAGAATATGAGGAGAATACATGGTTTTCATCGCTATTACACAATAAAAGCCAGAAGAAGAAAATAAGCTGGTTTCAATAAAAGTTATTTTTTGCATTAAATAATTTCTCTGTTTTTAATAGCACAATGACCTCAGATCTGTCAAAAGATGAAGGACTTTGAGTGATTTCTTTTCTGTTTTACAGTAATAGCTGATTCGTTCTGTTCAGTACCTCGTGTCCCAGGCGAATAGCAGCTTCAGTGAAGTTCCTCCTTTCTCGCTCAAAGTTTCTTTTCTGCTCACCGAAGAGCCTCCACTCCTCCTTCAGCCGCTCCTTCTCCTCCAGCGTGTAGCAGTCGTTCAGCAGAGCTGCGGTCTCCTCGTCACATGGCACGCTCAGCTGCTGCTGTAAACACACACACACACCTCAGACACGAGCAAACACAATGTGATCTATGTTTTAGCCCAATTTATGGTCGGGTCGGATATTTGTAACCAACTAACTTAAAATAAAAGTGCGTTTAGCGAATGACCTGAGGAGACCCGATTATTTTAAAATATGCCGACTTTCCACTATTCGTTTCAGGCGTTTAATTAACAATCGGGTCTAGCTGGGTTCGAAAACGAATGCCTTCGGGTCTAATTTTATCGGGTTGGGTTTTTCTTTAGGTAAGGGTGCGCACCACTATAGTTAGCTAGTTTCCTCCAATGAAAGACGATGAATTACACCGGCTCATGCCACATGTCCAGAGCTGAAGTGTGGACTCCTGCGCTCCACTATAAAGAAACCACTAGGGAGATCGAGAACAGTCGCGTTGTTTGCAAAATAAGCCATTCCAAAACTCAAATCTAAAGAGCTCAGTTAACACCCTGACGGCCTATCGACGTTTAGATGAATATGTTAATATGTTTTGCGCACTTTTTTCAATAACAAAATAAAACAAAAATAACAGCGGTGAGAAAAGAGCAGTTCAGAAAGCATCTGATCACAGCGATGTGGATATGTTTGAACAGCACTTTTACCACGGTATATACAGGGATCATGGAGTTCAATTTGATACCTTTTAAGAACGTTTTTAAGATTCTTTCCATACATTTTGAGACCTCATTAAACGGTTACGTCGGCGACACTTTAAAGGAGTAGTTCACCTCAAAATGAAAATTTCCTGATAATTTACTCCCCCCAATGCCATCCAAGATGGTCATGTCTGTCCTTCTGCAGTGGAAAAGAAATGAAGTTTTTTGAGGAAAACATTTCAGGATTTTTCTCCACACAATGGACTTCACTTGCAACCAACGTTTTGAAGTCCAAATCGATGCAGTTTCAAAGGTCTCTGAAGAGCTTCACACGGCTCTGCCCGATCCCAGCTGAGGAACAGGGTCTTATCTAGCCAAACCATCGGCCATTTTCAAAAAAAAAATAAACATTTCAGGAGAAAAATCCTGAAATGTTTTCCTCAAAAAACTTAATTTCTTTTCCACTGCAGAAAGAAAGACATGACCATCTTGGAGTTAATTATCAGGAAATTTTCATTTTGAGGTGAACTAACCCTTTAACTGATATTTAAGGCCCTTGCACACCGAGTCTGAAATTCGCGTCCGAATTTTCGCACATTAAAAAATAAATACGACCTCACGTTGTCAATCACGCTTGCACACTGCCTCCGAAACTTTCGTCCGTAGTAAAAAAAAAATCGGATCGGGTTCAATTTTCTGTGTTTTTCGCATCCGTAGCTCAAGCAGTTTGAGTGGTGTTTGAATGGCGTTTTGACAATTAGCCACCGAATCCAGAATACGAAACAACGCATACGAAAATTTCGGACTCAGTGTGCAAGGGCCTTAACTATGTGTTGATTGTAAGATAGCACAACTAAACTCAGTCTTCAGGTGATGATACACAGGGCAACTTTTTGAGCAATGTTGCCGTCAACGGGCAACCAGATGAGGCCCACGACTGATCTAAATTATCCAGATAGAAATTTATTGCCAATTTTCAATGGGAAAATGCCAAAAAAAAAAAAATCGTTCGGAAGATTTCCCAGCAACATTGCTCAAAAAGTTGCCCTGTGTATCATCACCTTTAGTTGGCGATAACTCCTTATCAATGCAACATAATTCAGAAGGGTGGAAACAACGCACAAGAGAATTAATTGACAAAATCATTAAAAAAAATTGGACAAATATACATAATGAAAAGTTTATTACGAACATTTACGATTGATACAAAATGTAATGCCTTGGAAAATGACATTTAACACTTTTTAAGGCCTTAATTTTCTCTCAATTGATTTATCAACCCACGGACACAGTTTACAGTATTAAATATGAAAAGCATTGAATATAAAAAACAGTGTCATTGAGGCATGGAGTGGACACTGCACTTTCTGTTGTCACTGTTCTGATTAAATTAAAGTTTTGCTCAGGTTTCACCAGTGTGTGTGTGTGTGTGTGTGTGTGTGTGTGTGTGTGTGTGTGTACCCTAACCCTAACCCTAAAGACCAATGGAAAGCTAGATGGACGGGCACAGGGATTCGGTGTGTCATCAGACTGGCCAGACCTAAATGACCTATGCTGGAAGACAGGTACTGAACTGAAGTGGAGCTCTCGCGATCGACCTGTAGAGGTCTCTGATGCAGTCGTAGAGGACCCATCTGTCATCGTGGAAGCCAGGCTGCACCATAACAACACTGTTCACCTGCTCCAGCCTAGAACATCAAGGCAGACTCTCTTGTTTACTCACAGAGCCCAAAATATGGAGTACTGGACCAGTCTGAAACTCCAGGGAAAGTTGGCAAAACTGCCCTGTGCGGACCACTCCGTATCACACACCATCTACAGTTATCCCTATCGCCTAACGACTACAGACCCATTGACTCCCTGTGCCAATGCATTGAGGAAGTAAACAATTGGATGTGCCAAAACTTTCTTCAGTTAAACAAAGACAAAACTGAAGTCATTGCGTTTGGAAACAAAGATGAAGTTCTCAAGGTGAATGCATACCTTGACTCTAGGGGTCTAACAACTAAAAATCAAGTGAGGAATCTGGGTGTGTCTCTAGAGTCAGACCTTAGTTTCAGTAGTCATGTCAAAGCAATAACTAAATCAGCATACTATCATCTGAAAAATATTTTAATAATTAGATGCTTTGTTTCCAATCAAGACTTAGAGAAACTTGTGCATGCTTTCATCACCAGCAGGGTGGATTATTGTAATGAACTCCTCACTGGCCTTCCTAAAAAGACCATAAGACAGTTGCAGCTCATACAGAACGCTGCTGCCAGGATCCTGAGCAGAACCAGAAAATATGACCATATCACACCAGTCCTCAGGTCTTCACACTGGCTCCCAGTTACATTTAGGATTGATTTTAAAGTATTATTACTGGTATATAAACCATTTAATGGCCTAGGACCTAAATATATTGCAGATATGCTCACTGAATATAAACCCAACAGATCACTCAGATCATTAGGATCACATCAGCTAGAAATACCAAGGATTCACTCTAAGCATGGAGAGTCTGCTTTAGCTATTATGCTGGAACAGCTTCCAGAGGAGATCAGATGTGCTCCGACAGTAGTCACATTCAAATCCAGACTCAAAACACTTCTGTTTAGCTGTGCATTTACTGAATGAGCACTGTGCCACTGTGTCCGACTGTTTGTACTGTATTTTATTTTATTTTTTATTCTAAACTGCTTTAATTATTCTTATTTCTTTTGATTATTTTAATCTCTTTATTCTTAACTGTTTTAATTATTCCTATTTTTTTTTTTTTTTTTTTTTTATGTAAAGCACTTTGAATTGCCATTGTGTATGAAATGTGCTATATAAATAAACTTGCCTTGCCTTGCCTTGCCTTGCCTTACAGCAATGCCACCATCAGTGAGGAGATCCTCATCTTCTGTGTGAAAGCACGTCTGCAGGTTCTTCCTACAAAATACACCTATCGCTGTGGTTCCCCTCCACCCACTCGCCCCTCTGCATGCTGCATGCCCCCCCTCAACACCTGGAGTCAGTAGCCCACATCATGAACAGTTGCTCAGCACTGAAAGGACTGTATATTGCCGGACATGACAGACTCGTGGACCTCATCGCTGCTCAGATTCCCTGCATGGCTGATGAGCAGATCTTTAAACACACTACTGTACAGTCCGAATGGTTCAACTCTCCTGCAAACACTTTCTTAGGAATGGCTAATACGCCCGATATTGTTAACATCTCTCAGAATGGCAAAAAAGTTACACTATTTGAGGTGTCATGTGCATTTGACTTGTTTATGGAGGAGTCTTACTGCTCTAAGACTCTAAAATATCAGTCATTGATATCGACCATTGAGAACCTTGGGTACAGATGCCGACTTATTGTGCTAGTGTTTGGTAGCCTAGGTCATGTACACAGGCTGGCGGTTCGTGGACTTTGTATTGGGGGGATTTCTAAAACAAGGGCCAAACAGTTGGCAAAGTACTGTTCAATCTCAGCAACTATAGGAAGCATGTTTATTTGGAAAAGACGATGTTTCCTGTATCCTTAGAACTCTTAACCCTTAGTAATTCATAACAATGTGCTGATTTGTTTTAATCTGTTGGATTATTCAAAAAATTTGATTCCAAATGAAATTAACTTGTAATGTGGAATCAAATAAAGTATATAAAATGTATGGTTCACCTGCAGAAGCTGCTGCTGCATGTGGATGAACTCTTTACACTGCTGCAGCTCCAGGCGTATCCGCTGCATCTCCTCCTCATGATCCTTCCTGGACATCAGCTCCTCGGCCTCGCGCTCCTGACACGCCACCAGTGACACTGCAACACACAAGCAGAGATGCTCATCATCAAGACCCAGTACTGAGGAACTCACTCTGAAGAATGTGCCGTCTCAAGTTCACCACAGTTTGCAAGAACAGCATTTAAAGTGATAAGACTCGTATAAGACCCCCACGTATAAGACTTTCTTTTTTCACATTCACACAAACGAAGATTTTTAGGTAGTATTTTCTTAGACACCTATCGTTTGACCTCACAGAGATGGAGTCCGTATACTACGTAACTTTGTTCAAAAGTCATCAATCCTTCTTCAAAAATGTGTGTGTGTCTTACCCCGATTCACTGTGGCAAGTCTATTACAAGTGTTTATATTCCCTTTCAGGATGGTTTTGGCGGGAAATTGTGTACGTGTGTCACTCGTCCGTGTGTCTCATGATCATATCCCGCGAATAGAGTAAAGTTGCTCCGGCTGCTTTGACGCGAGTCTGTTGTGGGAGTGACAGAGGTTAGTTGTGTGTGTTGTCAGATGTTAGTCACAACGAGAGAGAAAGGTTGACATGGAGCCGCTAAATCTCCAACCTCCGGAGAATCACCCGTTTTAAACAAACGCTAGAGAAAGGAGAACGAGGCAGAGCTCGTAATAAAGCAAGAGTCATCAGCTTGGCTGTAGGAGATGGAGAAAACTGAGGGGTTTGGACTGTTGTGATGGGGTTTATTACTCAACTGGAGAATAAGGTGTAACAGATAAACTGCCATATGTTTAGATTAGGTTTTTATTTTCATTTGAAAAAATGTTTTTCCTTTGTTGCTCAAAAACGATTAGTGGAAAGTACCTTTTTGTCAGTATTGGACTATGGTGATATAATATATATGCATGCGCCTTTAAATACTTTGAAAAAAATGGGATGTTTTACGATTTGTGACAAGTTACAGTGATGCGTACGCACACTTGAACCAATGTATTGACAAATTGGACTTCACTGATCTTGAGGAGGAAACATCATATGTTGATTTTTATTTTAAAAGCTTTACAGGGTAAATTACCACAGTATATATCTAGTTTATTGACATACTGCACTAGTATCTATAAAACTAGATCAACAGTCTTTTACTCAAGAACCCAATTCTCCAAACAGAAACCGGTGGATCAGTCTCTTCTAATTATGCTCCTCGAGTATGGAATGAGCTTCAGGGTATATCACATATGAAATATGAACCATCTCTCGCTTCGTTTATAAACATCTTAAAGTCTGTTTTTATAGAACGGTGTAAATGTTTTAACAGTTGATTAGGATTAGTATTGTTTCTCAGGGCACTTTCCTTTGTTTACTATGTTGTGTTATGTACTACTCTGTACTTTTTGTTTGTGCTGCCTATCTTGACCAGGACTCCCTGGTAGAAGAGATGTTGTATCTCAATGGGACCTTCCTGGTAAAATAAATACAATAAAAATAATATGTTGCTCTCTAACAGAGTTCACTGTAAAGCATCATCTATTGTGAAGTTCATCTAATTATGGTTGCTGTGATGGAGTTTATTCTCAGGGCAGTAGCGTGTCTATTGATGAGTAACTTATTAATTCAGCACTTGCGTGTAGTTCGGTAGAATTAAATGTCCTTATTCCTTTAATCCGCGGGACTTGCGTGTGAATCTGGTGTACGTCTCTCATTAGCACTCGCGCCCTGCTTCACACCACAGTCATGTTACAAACATCAGTGTGTTCACTCATCCATAAAAGATCCATCAGCTTGACGACAAGAGCCATAATTCCGCTTAATGCTTTGCGTCATCGATATACGCCTTTGTTATTGTAAGAGGTTAGCGACCCCTGGTGGCGAACAATCCTACATATTGTACCTTTAACCCTCTGGGGTCGGCGGTCTCGCCGGCGATACCAGCTCACTTTTTTCCTTATCAGTGCAAAAAAAACTCAAATTACTCTGTTGATTTTGATCTTACATATAAGTGTTGATATATTCCCAAACTTTCTGTAAAAACATTATGAGAATTAACTGCACAATTACTAGAAATGTTTACATTTGATATTATACAATTTGCAAGCACAATTTGAAAAATAAATAAATAATTGGAACTGTGAACCAATTTTGTATTATATAGGCCTATATATATATATATATATATATATGTATTGTCATTGCATTCTTGTGGCTCAGTGACACACCTGAATGAAAGGCTCATTAGTATGCAGCCCCATTATGCGCTCATTATGCGGGCCCATTGTCTTCTGAGGTGTGAATCACAGCAGGTCACACCCCTGCGCATATTGCCTAAAGTGTCATTTTTAAATTTAAACCAATCTATTGTTTTATAGAAAAAACTCTAGGCGACAACATCCATTATTCAAAAGTCTTGTGGACAGATATTTAGTATGTGTTTTGTGGCCTTATTTCAGAAACTTTAAATTTTAGTTTTTTCAATAGCCACGCATAAACAATATTCTCTCAAAAATACAAGCATGTACATACATGTTGATAACATATTATGGTAGCCCTGTTTGTGCTAAATAGAGTGTAATTACACCTTTGCCAGTAATTTGTTTATAAGCAACTGAAAAAAGCACAAATGTCAGAGTATGTCAAAACATCTCAAGGACCCCAAAAACACTTTAGACCCCAGAGGGTTAAGTAACCGTGTCGTCTGCACTCTTATAGTGGCACTGTATGCTTTATAGCGAGGGGGAAAGCAACACGCGGAGCGGACAGGGCTTGAATGAAGCACTTTCAACTCTAGATAACAATATTATAGATATAGCACTGAATGATCATTACCATGAACAACCCTGAGGGCCTGTGGTGTGTGTGAACCGCTCCGTTGCATTGACGCGCCGCTCACTTTAATCTGTAGAAACGGTAAAATGGCGCAATCATGTCCCAGAGTCCGGACTGAACCAAGCCGTCCGCCTTTTGAATAACCCTGCACTAGAGGGCCAAAAGGTACACTACGTAAATTTAAGTTTTTCAACTAATATTTATGTTGTATTTCAGCTTTATTTCAATTAACAGAAATGCTTTTAATAGTTAACAATAATAACACTGCTAACTCCCCAAGTTGTCCTCCACCCTTCTGAAAGGCCAGGATCTGAAGTCTCCACGTCATGACGTCCCTCCACACGCGCGTGTAAATCAAGGAGGTGTGCTCTTAACAACACCCATCACAGGAGTGACACTGCTGCCACGAAAGACCCTGTCCCTGGATGTAGACTAACTGCACCTCGGAAAACTGGGAATCCCCTTCCAAAAAAACCCTCACTATTAAAAATGCATGTCTGAAGTTTATTTCGAATGACGTGCCTGAGCGATTGAACAATGCTGTTGTGTGTTCGTCTGCTTTCACAGCATGGTGCCGTTAAAATATCTCGTGCTGAAACTACGTCAGTGCCAAGTATCGCTGTGGTTCTGTTCTCTGTTATAACATACAGGACTCTATTGCTGTCCTAAATTCAGACGCTGCATCCTACAAATGTGTAGAAAAGTGATAATGTTTTTAACAAGCATCTGACTGATGTTGTGCTGCAGAACAGCTGAGCTCCAGAAGCGCGGGTACCTTGGCTGTCGAGTCTCTGCATGTGGCTCTTGAGCTTCCTCCACTGCAGGCGGATGCTGTTGGTCAGCTGCTCACGCGCCTGCTCACACGCCTGCTCCAGCGGCCCTCGACTGCAGTCAGCGGCGTCCTCCTCGCCCGAGGACACGGCCTGAGGACACACACACACACACACACACAGTCAGCGGCGTCCTCCTCGCCCGAGGACACGGCCTGAGGACACACACACACACACACAGTCAGCGGCGTCCTCCTCGCCCGAGGACACGGCCTGAGGACACACACACACACACACACAGTCAGCGGCGTCCTCCTCGCCCGAGGACACGGCCTGAGGACACACACACACACACACAGTCAGCGGCGTCCTCCTCGCCCGAGGACACGGCCTGAGGACACACACACACACACACACACACACAGTCAGCGGCGTCCTCCTCGCCCGAGGACACGGCCTGAGGACACACACACACACACACAGTCAGCGGCGTCCTCCTCGCCCGAGGACACGGCCTGAGGACACACACACACACACACACACACACAGTCAGCGGCGTCCTCCTCGCCCGAGGACACGGCCTGAGGACACACACACACACGCCATCACTCACCCGCATGCCCTTCCGACCCAGCATGACCTGCGTTCAGCTCACAAACACAAATCAAGACTATCTTCACCACACCTGAAAAGTTCATGTTCCTCCATTAAAAGTCCAGGAAACCAAAACAGTTCATAAAGTCATTGTCAAAGTAATCCATATGAATCTAGAAAATGTATTTTATTATAGTTTTATATTTCTAGTTTTCATGTTAAGTTCAGTAATTGCATTAAGAGCTTTTGTCATTTATTAAAATATTGCTATTTTAGGTTTAATTACATTTTTATTTCAGTTGTAGCTTTATTTATTTCCAGTTAATCATTTTACTTCAACACTTTACAATAAGGTTTCATTAGTTAACATGAACTGATAATTAACTATATTTCTACAGCATTTATTAATCTTAGTTAATGATCATTTCAATATTTACTATTATTAAAATCAAAAGTTGTATTTGTTAACATTAGTTAATGCACTGTGAACTAACATGAACAGCTTGATTTGTTTATTAACAAAAATTAACAAATACAGTAATAAATGTATTGCTCACTGTTAGTTCATGATAGTAAATACATTAACTAATGTTACTGCAACATTTCTATTTTATATATATATATACATATAAAATAGAAAAGTTTATTTTTTCAACATTTATATTTTAATTCAGCTTAATTTAATTTAATTATTATTACCATATTCAATGTGCTCTTTATGAACTTTTTAAAGCACCAATGCTTTGGGGGGTCATTCATTTCATTTTGGCTCCTGCAATGGGTTTGGGGGCGTCCCATCCCTGTGCGTTGAGCCGACCAGATGCACCAGTTGTTTCCAGTGCTGACGGTCTTGTGCCAGCTGCTCTGCATCCTCCACAGCAACTCCATGTTGTTGGAGGTCGCCTGCAAGGACGTCAAGCCATCGGGTGCGGGGTCTGCCTCGTGGTCGTCTCCAGCCTGCGGCTTTTGGATCAAACTGGAGAATGGCTCTCGTCGGGTGGTCAGGAGGCAGACGGAGGACATGGCCAAGCCAGCGGATGCGACGTTGCGCAGCCAGGCAAGATGCTCTGGGCTGGCACGTGCGGGCTCTAAGCACTTGATTGGAAACCCGCTGGGGCCACCTGATATTCTCAATGGTCCTGAGGGCCCTGCTATCAAAGCCATCTATTCTTGTAGTCAGTGTCTTATTTAAGGGCCAAGTCTCCGAGCCATAAAGCAGGATGGAGAGTACTGCTGAGTTGTAAATCCGGAGCTTCGTCTTGCGTGAGATGGTCTGGTGCCTCCAGAGTGGTTTCCAGAGAGACTGCAGAGCTGACGCAGCCAGGGCTCTTCTACGGGTAATCTCTGGTTTTAGGTCCCCGTTGTCTGTCACTAAGGATCCCAGATACACAAAGTTGTTGACAGGCTCTACAATATCATTGCCAAACTGCAGGGAAGTTGGATGCGGTCCATCACCGACATACATGAACTTGGTTTTTGTCCAGCTCACCTGAAGGCCAAGCTTCTCAGCCTCTTCACTGTATATGCCCAGAGCGTCTCTCAACTGGCTGTAGGACGTGCTGAGCAGGATGGTGTCGTCAGCGTACTCCAGGTCAGTCAGGTGGTAACTGCCGAAGGACACTCCGGGGACCCGCTCACAAACCCTAGACATCAGATGGTCAATGATGCAGTTGAAGAGGTCAGGAGCAGCCACGCAGCCCTGGCGAACGCCACTGGAGATGGGAAACCAGTCTGAGTCTCTGCCGTTGATACGGACACAGCTCTGAGCGTTGCTATAAAGCAGCTTGAACAGTGCAACGATCTTGGGTGGTGCTCCAAGGGCGTGTAGGATACTCCACAGTGAAGTGTGGCAAACGGTGTCAAAGGCAGCCTTCAGATCTATGAACCCAATGTAAAGATGGCGATCTTTACGGAATTCATAGGTCTTCTCTATCAGCATGCGAACGGCGGAGATTTGGTCTGTTGTGGAGCGGTTAGGCATGAAGCCAGCCTGCTGGGGACGGCGGCTGCTTCTGATGGCTGGGAGAGCACGAGTGAGCAAGATCTTGGTAAAGAGTTTGCCGGGGATGGAGAGCAGGGTAATGCCTCTGTGGTTGCCGCAGACTAGCCTGTCACCTTTACGTTTCCAGAAGGGCAAGATGACTCCTCTGGTCCAGTCGCTGGGAAGCCTTTCTGTCTCCCACACCTCATTGAATATGTGGGTAAGCCACTCGACAATGGTTTCACCCCCAGATTTTAGCATCTCAGCAGTTATTGCACAGATGCCGGGGGCTTTCCTGTTGTTTAGTTTTTCCAGAGCGGCTCTGACTTCCTCAGGTGTAACAGGGTCTGTATTGCAGACAGCACTAAGGGCTGCAGCATTAGCGGTCGATAAGATGGCGGTATCAGCTGGGGAGGTACCGTGCTGCAGAAGAAGGCTGAAGTGCTCTTTCCAGTGTTCGAGGCAGTTTGCTTCAGTTGCTATAAGATTGCCATCGGAATCTTTCACCAGGGCTGTCTTGATGCGTGGGCCATTACGGGCTTGGCGCAGCAGACTGAAGACACGGCTCTGGGGGGTAACAGACTTTTAATGGAGGGACAGAAAACTCAGATTTTATTAAAAAATATCTTTGTGTAAAAATAACATTATTTCCCATCTAAATAAAATAAAATAATGTTTTTATTTTAAACACGGTTTGAAATCGCTGGTGTTTCTGACGTCACAAACGAGCTTGTAACCAATCAGATCAACGTGTGATCGTCAACCAGTGGATCTCTGAGCTGAGTGAGTGAGTGAGTGAGTGGAGGCGGGGCTCATCTGCATATTCATAGGACCGCGCATACTAAATGAGGCAAGGGTGTCAAGTTACATTCAAGATATTTAAAGACATTTTTTTCAATGAAAAAACTTTTACAAAGTAATTTTGGTGATCAAAGATGAGTTTTAAGTGATAAAATTATTGACTAAAGGGGGACTTTAAATATAAATGAATAGAAACAAATCTTAAATAAATATATTTATTTAAATGTATTAAATACTTTAAACAATGCATTATTTACTTTTATCTTGCCAATAGCTGACAGTAGTTTAATGTACAAAAGTAGTCTAAAAACAAGGTTTAAAAAGACGAAAGGTAAAGCTGTTTCAGTGGTGGGAAAAATCTTTAGTATAACGCGTATAGATGAAGTTGGTATTTCACAATGCCTTATATTTGTAGAGTTCACAGACAGTTTGCTGCTGAAACATGTCATTTGGAGACCCTGTGAGGCGCTCAGACCTGCTCTAGGCTGTCCTCCGCCGGCTCCGGCTCCACGCAGGGGCTCTTGGGACTCAGGATGGCCATCATGTCCTTCTTCATGAGCTGCAACACCTTCTGGAGCTCTGCGTTCTCCAGCATCAGGGACCTCTGCCGCGCCTCATAGTCACTCAGTAGAGCCCTGTACATCTCCCCCTCGTGCCTGACAACACAACAGCAAACACGAGAGATGGTCACACACACACACACACACACACACACACACACGAGTGTCTGACAACACAACAGCAAACACGAGAGATGGTCACACACACACACACACCCGAGTGTCTGACAACACAACAGCAAACACGAGAGATGGTCACACACACACACACACACACACACACACACACACACACACACACACACACGAGTGTCTGACAACACAACAGCAAACACGAGAGATGGTCACACACACACACACACACACACACCCGAGTGTCTGACAACACAACAGCAAACACGAGAGATGGTCACACACACACACACACTCGTGTCTGACAACACCACAGCAAACACGAGAGATGGTCAAACACACACACACACACACACACACACACGAGTGTCTGACAACACAACAGCAAACACGAGAGATGGTCACACACACACACACACTCGTGTCTGACAACACCACAGCAAACACGAGAGATGGTCAAACACACACACACACACACACACACACACACACGAGTGTCTGACAACACAACAGCAAACACGAGAGATGGTCACACACACACACACACTCGTGTCTGACAACACCACAGCAAACACGAGAGATGGTCAAACACACACACACACACACACACACACACACACACACGAGTGTCTGACAACACAACAGCAAACACGAGAGATGGTCACACACACACACACACACACACACACACACACACACACACACACACACTAGTGTTACCTGGCCTCCATCTTGCCCGTCTTCCAGAGGCCTCTCCTGCCATCGGACCTTCCCACACAGTTGGACACTTCAATGGCTGAACACACGAGGACAGAGAGAGAGAGAGAGAGAGAGGAGAGAGAGAGAGAGAGAGAGAGAGAGAGAGAGAGAGAGAGAGAGAGAGAGAGAGAGAGAGAGAGAGAGAGAGAGAGAGAGGTTATAACCTTGCATGCACTCCTCAACTCTCTGATATTGTGGATTACTTCACTTGAGTTTGTGTAATTGTCATGTAGATATTGTGTTGCTGTGTTGTGTAACTGCTATTGATGCGGGTCAGGCTAGGACAGGTCCGCTGGGATGGGAGGTTTAAGGGCGGATTAAAAGCCAAGGGAAGGTCAACAGTGTCAGTAAAGCTGGAATTACAAGCAGGTCATTTTATATTTTACTTATAATATTGTATGTACACAAGTGCATCATATCAAATGATTCATTTCAATGTTAGCACAGAGTAGTTAAAGACACCTTATATAAAGTGTGACTGAACTTTCAAAGCTGTCATTTCTTTCAACAAGCTACATTGAGATGATATATTATATTACACATGGGATATATAAACAGGCTCTGAAATACTTTTTTTTTTAAAATCTAATAATCAACTTCCTCCTCAAAATCATACACTATACTGCAGCATTTCTATGGATGCAAATGTTTAAGCTTTCAAGATTAAATGTTAACCTGAGGGATTAAGAAAACAAAAACGTGTTTCAATCGAGTAGCTCAAATATACAGAAAACAGGACTTCCATTTCCCATCATGCTTTGCATGGGGCTGAGTAGGGGGAGCAAATGTTGAAGTGTGTGATATTTCATGAATCTTTAGCCAGATGAGAAAATGGAGAGACTTGTTGTTCTATGATGTTATTTACTAGAGTGTCTGTTATGGCTCTGTCAGAAGGTCTTCAACAGAACCACAACTTGAACTCATTTCCAAAGGTCTACACGCTATGACCCGAGGTATGCAACTATACTTTTCCTGCCCAACAATAACTGAATCTCTGACTCAAAGTAAATTCACCTTTATTCCTCGAGGAGGAGGCCATGTCTGATACACTATGATGACGTGATTACGGCAGGCACAACACAAAACGACACAAGTATTATCAGCAAACCGTGAAATGGCTCAGTGATTTGCTGAAGGAATGGAGTATTAGTGCCGCGTCACGCAGTGCTGGATCTGGAGAAGCGGCCAGAGATCAAAATATGGATTTGGAAGAGAATATGTTTGAGATGGTGAATATGAGCCGGATGCTGAATGCCCTGGGGAACGAGCTCTGACGAGGAGGACAGTGACGATGGGAAATTAACTCTTCATAGTTCCAAAGGTAACAAAATATGCTTTATTGTAGTCTTTTTTTAATAGTTATTAAAATATCAGGAGAATTATTAGAGATCCACCCTAATATTTAATAATGATTGGCAAAACATTCATGCATTTAAGTGATATATAATATAACCTTTTAGGGGTTCCATCATGGGATCATTTCATGGATTTAGATTGAAGTCATTTTGTTTTATTTCATTTTTAATTTTAATTTAAATCTGAAAACATACTTTTTCACTAGAAAAAAGTAACTAACCCATTTAAAATGAAAGAATTATGCTATCATTTAAGACATTTCTCTTTATACAGAACCTTTTTTTTGGCATTAAAAAGTAATGCCCAGTATTAGGGATGTGAATTTCTGCCAAAAATGACATTCGAAAATCGAGGAGCAAAAGTCGATTATCGTTCGAAAATCGGAAAAAAAGGGGAAAAAACGCACACTCACAATGACAGAAAGGGAGGCCAATTTCATCTTTAGCTATTGTCATCAAACAAACTGTTTATTATTCGAACAATTAACATGTTTTCATCGTTTTTTTAACATACCGGTAGTTAACATAGAAGAAAAAAACAATAAGCACGACAGTCCGTTTTTGCATCGCCAAACCAGATGCTTGTTAGATAAAAATAAAAAAATCTCATAATGATTTTATGCAAACCTGCCTTGTTACTGCAAAAGCCTACTTTTTAAACAAATTAGTTTCATTCAAAACTATTCGTGTGATGCCACTGCGCAATACACACACATTACCGCGGGATGGCGAGTGTTCATTTCATAAACTGTGGACAATGGTAGCTTATTTAATGTAGCCTATAAATGAATGTATATGTCCAAAAAACGGATAATGTCATCATACTTGTAGTGCTATCGTCGAGTAATAATCTGTTTGGTTGTAAAATGTATTACCTGAATGAAATGAACTAGAATGTATCGTCCTGTGGAATCATTCATTCACAGACATCATACGAAGATGTTAAACTAGATCGCTGGCAAAAATATGATGCATTTGCAGATTTGCTTTCACTAGACTGTACTGTAGGTCCACGGCCACTTCATCCAACGCTCTTGATGTTCTTAAATCTTCCTGTTACGACTCCGTGTCGAGTGTGAATTAAAGCGCTTCAGTGATTCAGTGCGCGAGGAACTGAACAGATCATTCAAACTGATTCGCGAACCGATTTAGACAGATCTGCCAACTTGTTTGATGAAGTCTTTGAACAGAATCGACTCAAAAGAGTGATTCATTTGTGAATGGAGCATCGCTCGTGCCCATAAAAAAGACACAGCGCGCTTGGAATAAACTACGCATTTAACAACATGTATTGCATTAAAATAAAGTAACGAGAGGAACGTCGCCCAACGTAGTGAAGTAAATGTAGCCTACTTTGTTACTACCATAGACGGTTACTACCATAGACAGTAAAGGTTAGTCTACTACCCACCTCTGTTGGGCGCAGAGCTAACGGTCACGACAATGCTCTTCTTCTGTTGTTTGTTTACACTGTATAAATATAACGATATTCGAATAAGCAATTTTATGATCGAATTTCGAACACAGTTCGACTATTCGAAGATCGCGACTCATCCCTGCCCAGTATTAAGTGTAAGCAACAGCACTATATAAACAAGAGCAGAAGTGTAGAAAAAGAGAAACGGTAGAAAATGTGTTTGTAATATGTCCCCATGTTATTGTAAAGGTCCTTAGCCTGGGAAAACCCAGACAACTTCTGGCAAATGTAGATTTGCTCTGAAAGTTAGTCTGGCAAAGAGCTCATTCAAGCCCATTTCCAATCCGCCGAGATCGCGGCACCAATCAGAAGCGTTGGGGCGGGCTTTACACGATGACGACAGCGCTGGGATTTTGAAGCAGATTTTGTAGCCTACATTACAGAGATGGATGCCGTCGTCGAACATCACTCGTTCCAATCAGCTATCGCGTCTGTTTTAAGCCATTTGAACGTTTCCTTTCAGTTAAAAACCGAGAAAGAACAACACTCGGAGATGTTTCTCCGCCGCTCTGCATACGTCATCTCCTTCATCACTCTGATTGGGTTTAGGTCTATCCGCCACGTCCGTTGGTGACGCCCCTCTGGAAATGATTTGTCTTTGACGCTTTGCCAGACCATAACTCAGTTACAACTGAGAATAATCTGGTTTTAACCAGGCTATATAGCTCTACCTACTTAACTTGCATTATATTCCTTATAACCCGGAGAGCTCCACTAGTGCGCCCGCTCACCGAGCTTCTTGTCCCTCTTGTCCACGAGCAGCTGGTTGAGCCGCTCCTTGAGTCTGGAGCTCTCCCGCTCTTTGCGCTTGGCATCATGGCTGTACTGTGTGGCTCGACTGGAGATGATGCTCTGCAGCCTCTGCACCTGCAGCACATTACCACACACAGGAGCAGCGATCACACAGCTTTCAGACCAATGAACACACTGACGAAAAACAAAAACTTACTTTACAATCAAACAACTGGAATATACCCTAACGGCAAACAACCGTTTTAAGCTTAAAACAGTAAAAAGCTGTGCCAGCATTTAAAGGGGTCCTAATATGCCCTTTTACGAAGTCTTGATTTTGTTTTTGGGGTGTACTAGAATGTTTTCATGCTTGACTGTACAAAATTTACATTATTACAGCTCTTCTCTCCCCAGTCTGGTTTAACACGTTGATTTCGATGAAGCCCCTCCTTCTGAAATATGAAGCCCCTCCTTCCCAGTGTGCTGTGATTGGTTAGCTGACCCAGTGTGCTGTGATTGGTTAGCTGACCCAGTGTGCTGTGATTGGTTAGCTGACCCAGTGTGCTGTGATTGGTTAGCTGACCCAGTGTGCTGTGATTGGTTAGCTGACCCAGTGTGCTGTGATTGGCTAGCTGACCCAGTGTGCTGTGATTGGCTAGCTGACCCAGTGTGCTGTGATTGGTTAGCTGACCCAGTGTGCTGTGATTGGTTAGCTGACCCAGTGTGCTGTGATTGGTTAGCTGACCCAGTGTGCTGTGATTGGCTAGCTGACCCAGTGTGCTGTGATTGGTTAGCTGACCCAGTGTGTTTTGATTGGTTAGCTGACCCAGTGTGCTGTGATTGGTTAGCTGACCCAGTGTGCTGTGATTGGTTAGCTGACCCAGTGTGCTGTGATTGGTTAGCTGACCCAGTGTCCTGTGATTGGTTAGCTGACCCAGTGTGCTGTGATTGGCTAGCTGACCCAGTGTGCTGTGATTGGTTAGCTGACCCAGTGTGCTGTGATTGGTTAGCTGACCCAGTGTGCTGTGATTGGTTAGCTGACCCAGTGTGTTGTGATTGGCTAGCTGACCCAGTGTGCTGTGATTGGCTAGCTGACCCAGTGTGCTGTGATTGGCTAGCTGACCCAGTGTGCTGTGATTGGTTAGCTGACCCAGTGTGCTGTGATTGGTTAGCTGACCCAGTGTGCTGTGATTGGCTAGCTGACCCAGTGTGCTGTGATTGGTTAGCTGACCCAGTGTGCTGTGATTGGTTAGCTGACCCAGTGTGCTGTGATTGGTTAGCTGACCCAGTGTGCTGTGATTGGCTAGCTGACCCAGTGTGCTGTGATTGGCTAGCTGACCCAGTGTGCTGTGATTGGCTAGCTGACCCAGTGTGCTGTGATTGGTTAGCTGACCCAGTGTGCTGTGATTGGTTAGCTGACCCAGTGTGCTGTGATTGGCTAGCTGACCCAGTGTGCTGTGATTGGCTAGCTGACCCAGTGTGCTGTGATTGGTTAGCTGACCCAGTGTGCTGTGATTGGTTAGCTGACCCAGTGTGCTGTGATTGGTTAGCTGACCCAGTGTGTTGTGATTGGCTAGCTGACCCAGTGTGCTGTGATTGGCTAGCTGACCCAGTGTGCTGTGATTGGCTAGCTGACCCAGTGTGCTGTGATTGGTTAGCTGACCCAGTGTGCTGTGATTGGTTAGCTGACCCAGTGTGCTGTGATTGGCTAGCTGACCCAGTGTGCTGTGATTGGTTAGCTGACCCAGTGTGCTGTGATTGGTTAGCTGACCCAGTGTGCTGTGATTGGTTAGCTGACACAGTGTGCTGTGATTGGCTAGCTGACCCAGTGTGCTGTGATTGGCTAGCTGACCCAGTGTGCTGTGATTGGCTAGCTGACCCAGTGTGCTGTGATTGGTTAGCTGACCCAGTGTGCTGTGATTGGTTAGCTGACCCAGTGTGCTGTGATTGGCTAGCTGACCCAGTGTGCTGTGATTGGCTAGCTGACCCAGTGTGCTGTGATTGGTTAGCTGACCCAGTGTGCTGTGATTGGTTAGCTGACCCAGTGTGCTGTGATTGGTTAGCTGACCCAGTGTGCTGTGATTGGTTAGCTGACCCAGTGTGCTGTGATTGGTTAGCTGACCCAGTGTGCTGTGATTGGTTAGCTGACCCAGTGTGCTGTGATTGGTTAGCTGACCCAGTGTGCTGTGATTGGCTAGCTGACCCAGTGTGCTGTGATTGGCTAGCTGACCCAGTGTGCTGTGATTGGTTAGCTGACCCAGTGTGCTGTGATTGGTTAGCTGACCCAGTGTGCTGTGATTGGCTAGCTGACCCAGTGTGTTTTGATTGGTTAGCTGACCCAGTGTGCTGTGATTGGTTAGCTGACCCAGTGTGCTGTGATTGGTTAGCTGACCCAGTGTGCTGTGATTGGTTAGCTGACCCAGTGTCCTGTGATTGGTTAGCTGACCCAGTGTGCTGTGATTGGCTAGCTGACCCAGTGTGCTGTGATTGGTTAGCTGACCCAGTGTGCTGTGATTGGCTAGCTGACCCAGTGTGCTGTGATTGGTTAGCTGACCCAGTGTGCTGTGATTGGCTAGCTGACCCAGTGTGCTGTGATTGGTTAGCTGACCCAGTGTGCTGTGATTGGTTAGCTGACCCAGTGTGCTGTGATTGGTTAGCTGACCCAGTGTGTTGTGATTGGCTAGCTGACCCAGTGTGCTGTGATTGGCTAGCTGACCCAGTGTGCTGTGATTGGCTAGCTGACCCAGTGTGCTGTGATTGGTTAGCTGACCCAGTGTGCTGTGATTGGTTAGCTGACCCAGTGTGCTGTGATTGGCTAGCTGACCCAGTGTGCTGTGATTGGTTAGCTGACCCAGTGTGCTGTGATTGGTTAGCTGACCCAGTGTGCTGTGATTGGTTAGCTGACCCAGTGTGCTGTGATTGGCTAGCTGACCCAGTGTGCTGTGATTGGCTAGCTGACCCAGTGTGCTGTGATTGGCTAGCTGACCCAGTGTGCTGTGATTGGTTAGCTGACCCAGTGTGCTGTGATTGGTTAGCTGACCCAGTGTGCTGTGATTGGTTAGCTGACCCAGTGTGCTGTGATTGGTTAGCTGACCCAGTGTGCTGTGATTGGTTAGCTGACCCAGTGTGCTGTGATTGGTTAGCTGACCCAGTGTGCTGTGATTGGTTAGCTGACCCAGTGTGCTGTGATTGGTTAGCTGACCCAGTGTGCTGTGATTGGTTAGCTGACCCAGTGTGTTTTGATTGGTTAGCTGACCCAGTGTGCTGTGATTGGTTAGCTGACCCAGTGTGCTGTGATTGGTTAGCTGACCCAGTGTGCTGTGATTGGCTAGCTGACCCAGTGTGCTGTGATTGGTTAGCTGACCCAGTGTGCTGTGATTGGTTAGCTGACCCAGTGTGCTGTGATTGGCTAGCTGACCCAGTGTGCTGTGATTGGTTAGCTGACCCAGTGTGCTGTGATTGGTTAGCTGACCCAGTGTGTTTTGATTGGTTAGCTGACCCAGTGTGCTGTGATTGGTTAGCTGACCCAGTGTGCTGTGATTGGTTAGCTGACCCAGTGTGCTGTGATTGGCTAGCTGACCCAGTGTGCTGTGATTGGCTAGCTGACCCAGTGTGCTGTGATTGGTTAGCTGACCCAGTGTGCTGTGATTGGTTAGCTGACCCAGTGTGCTGTGATTGGCTAGCTGACCCAGTGTGCTGTGATTGGTTAGCTGACCCAGTGTGCTGTGATTGGCTAGCTGACCCAGTGTGCTGTGATTGGTTAGCTGACCCAGTGTGCTGTGATTGGTTAGCTGACCCAGTGTGCTGTGATTGGCTAGCTGACCCAGTGTGCTGTGATTGGTTAGCTGACCCAGTGTGCTGTGATTGGTTAGCTGACCCAGTGTGCTGTGATTGGTTAGCTGACCCAGTGTGCTGTGATTGGCTAGCTGACCCAGTGTGCTGTGATTGGCTAGCTGACCCAGTGTGCTGTGATTGGCTAGCTGACCCAGTGTGCTGTGATTGGTTAGCTGACCCAGTGTGCTGTGATTGGTTAGCTGACCCAGTGTGCTGTGATTGGTTAGCTGACCCAGTGTGCTGTGATTGGTTAGCTGACCCAGTGTGCTGTGATTGGTTAGCTGACCCAGTGTGCTGTGATTGGTTAGCTGACCCAGTGTGCTGTGATTGGTTAGCTGACCCAGTGTGCTGTGATTGGTTAGCTGACCCAGTGTGCTGTGATTGGTTAGCTGACCCAGTGTGTTTTGATTGGTTAGCTGACCCAGTGTGCTGTGATTGGTTAGCTGACCCAGTGTGCTGTGATTGGTTAGCTGACCCAGTGTGCTGTGATTGGCTAGCTGACCCAGTGTGCTGTGATTGGTTAGCTGACCCAGTGTGCTGTGATTGGTTAGCTGACCCAGTGTGCTGTGATTGGCTAGCTGACCCAGTGTGCTGTGATTGGCTAGCTGACCCAGTGTGCTGTGATTGGCTAGCTGACCCAGTGTGCTGTGATTGGTTAGCTGACCCAGTGTGCTGTGATTGGTTAGCTGACCCAGTGTGCTGTGATTGGCTAGCTGACCCAGTGTGCTGTGATTGGCTAGCTGACCCAGTGTGCTGTGATTGGTTAGCTGACCCAGTGTGCTGTGATTGGCACCGCTTAGCGTGTAAATTGTCCCACTCCTTTATAACCGCAAGTTCTGCTCTAGTGCAGGCTTGTGCAAAATTCAGCATCTCAGATTTGGCCTCCATTCAATTCATGAACTGGAATTTGAATTGACTCCGCCCAACAGGAAGTCGAATTTGAATGACAGGAAGTGGAATTAAATGCATGGCAATTCAAAGAAATTCCACACAGTCACACAACAGAAAGAATGTGTTGAATCTCACACACACACTCAGAGTTGGGAAGCTTACTTTGGAAATGTAATTGCTTACTGTTATAAGTTACTCATTATAAATGTGGTTTGGATTACTTTATCAATGTAAAGCAATTTCCTTTTAATTTGATTAGTAACTAATTGAATTACACATTTTACCTCTAAATAAACTAAATAAAATTACATTCCTTTTGTAATTTAATAACATAATTTCATTACACGTAACTAGTCACTCCTCAACCCTGCATACATTTTGATCTAACATATAAAAAATGTCCACCTCAAATTGTTTTTTTTTTCTAAAGATTTACCATCATGTTCCACAAAATTACAATTACAATAAATCAAACTTATTTATTTGTTCTGTGACTAGAGCTTTTAACAGTCATTGCTGGGGGAAAACATGTCCTGTTAATGTAATCTGTACAAGTAGTTCAAACTAATATCATTTATAGAATATGTAATGCAATCGTATCTGACATATCCTGTAAAGCTTCATTGTTAAACACTTCACTTGAAAATATGTATATGAATTTCTTTGAATTATAAATGAATTGCAATTCTGCTTCCTTTAATTCAAATTCCAATTGTAATTCTAGATCCTGCTTTTGACATCAATTCAAATTCGAGAATTGAACTGGACTTCAGGAGTTATTCTTCATATTAATAAGAATGGTGTCGATTTCAGAGCATTTCGCGCCTGATTCAGACCCTGACAATGTTTACGAACAAGAGGATCGTGCAGAACGGACTTAACAAGCACGGCTTTCACATTGGTATGTTTTTTGTAATTTTATTATACATTCTAGATACGATGTTATCCACCATTTAATCGTGACATTAGTCGGAAAACTATGGCAATACAAACAGTAATCGATTACAAAACCATGGTTAATTTTCCTAAGCAGCGGTGAACAGTCTTACAGAAGCAACAGAAAACAAGCGGTTCTCCATAAAATGTGCTGATAAACGTGGTGTTATAATGTTCAGGAACAGTTTAATATAAATGTGAACCTCTCTAAGTTCGTAAGCCTTAGGAGAGATTTGAGAGATATTTCATAACTCGCGAGTTTACATCTCACAATAAATAATTGTAATCGCAATCGAATTCTGAGAAAAACATCAAATTTGTTTTCCCTCAATACACTGATCATTCAGTTTGGCATTTGTGTAAAAGATGAAGGAGGATTTTGTTTGCTGGGGGCTATGGTGTAAAACTTAAACAGAATAAATAGTTTTTTCTAAAAGCAAAGGTTGAGCGTGAGCATGTCTTACTTCCTCCTTCTCAGACTTCAGGCAGTTCTGTAAGGTTCTGATCTTCAGCTGGAGCTGTCGCTCGCCCTCATGCAGGCCCGAGTTCTCTCTCCTCGTGTGCTCCAGCTGATCCTGACACACACACACACACACACACAGGAAATTAAAAGCATGCTGCTTGCGTTTACATTACAACCATTTCCTCCTACTTTACTCTGAACTCTCCTATTTTGAATGAGTAAATAATTAAACTCAGCACTACAGCAGTGTGCATAATAGATCTCAGATATCAAATGTTTACATGTAAACGTGTTACTGCTCAAAAAAAGACTATGAAAAACAATGGTTGGTTGAAATAAAATATAAATATTTGAACAACTGTTTATTGCCAAGGCACCATTTCTAATTTTCAGTTCACTTAAAGAGATACTCCACCCAAAAATGAAAATTCTGTCATCATTTACTCACCCTCAAGTTGTGGCAAACCTGTATGAGTTTCTTTCTTCTGCTGAACACAAAGGAAGATATTTTGAAGAACGATTGGAACCAAAGAGTTGTTTGGCACCATTGACTTCCATAGTAGAAAAAATAAATAAATACTATGGAAGTCAATGGTGCCAAAGTTCCACTCGTTCTTCAAAATATCTTCCTTTGTGTTCAGCAGAAGAAAGAAACTCATACAGGTTTGCCACAACTTGAGGGTGAGTAAATGATGACTGAATTTTCATTTTTGGGTGGAGTCACCCTTTAAGCCTGCCTCACACTACAGGAGTGTTAAAATCCTAACCGATTGTGAAATGTGGTTGCAGCACACACACTTAAAGGGATAGTTCACTTTGAAATTAATTTTTGGTATGTTTTAGCTTACCTCAAGGGCATCCAAGATGTAGGCGCGTGTACGTCACTCATTGTTTACACAGAACAGAGATTGTAGGTAAGACGGCTAATTAAAAGGGTACTAATTTGCGCTTATCCGGGATGTTTAAACCGTCGTAAAAGAAAACGATTAAAAAAAATAAAAAAATAAAACAATTGTATGAGTGACGTACACGCGCGAGAGATCACTCGGAAAAGACCGAAGCGCCGGCGCCCTCAGATCACTTGGACGTGGCTGTGGTTACAAGAGGTAAAAACGATATAAATACTGTTCGTTTTCTCACACAAACCGCTCGTTTCGTGTCTTAGGCCAGCAATGTGTACTTACATTTACGAGTCATTAAATCATGTTTAATTTGGGCTTCTCTGTGCATGCTCTTTGAGGTGGTGACCATAGACCTGCATTATATGACTGACAGACAAGAACGCTTTGACCTAAAAATATCAAAATTGAAAATACTGTGGAAACAAAGACACCTTCATCTTGGATGCCCTTGAGGTAAGCTAAAACATATCAAAAATTAATTTCAAAGTGAACTATCCCTTTAAGGAGAATCTTTGCAGATTTTCTTCCCACATTATCCTTTAACATTTAAGGATATTTCTAATGAATGGCGTCAGCTCTGGTCAATACAATGAATCAATGCCATTGATCTCTATGAAGTGAAGCTTCAGCGTTGCCCATGCGCCGCATTGCTGCTCAGCTGAGCCTTGTAAAGTGGAGCTCAGAGTTAAAATTAAATATTAAAATAATTAACAGCTTGTTTCATTACATCTTTGAACGAATCCGCATTTTTTTACATTTCCGTTGAATGAACAGTTTAATGACTCACTCAAAAGATTCGAGGATCGAAACTAACTGTTTTATAACAATGGCCTAAAAAGTTTATTGTCAGGTTTATGTTCTGTTATTATATTATGTGTGGACCCTTATTTTGACATGGTATCTTCTGTTTACTCCACTTCGTTTCAATGCGCTTCATTCCTGAAGATGTACTCGTCTTCGTGCTGACCACAGCGTGACACTTATTTATTTAGCAATAAATAAATAAATGAAGATAATACCGCATATCGCGCTGTTGAGTCGCTCTAAATTACCACAATGGAAATTCCTTCACCACGACAGCCCTACTTGTTTCTCATTGGCTATTGAGACAGTACTGACGTACCGGTAATCACAATCTTGCTCATCCCGATAAATATCAAACATGTTTGATGATGTGATCGGGGCAGGCCGGATTGTCGATCTGTGAAAGCCTCACATTACCAGATAATCTGCGCCGAACATCAGGACCGATCGAGGTCATCGACAAGTTTCTTTCTACGATTCTCGGGAGGGGGAAATCGGGACATAAATCAGCTCCTGTAGTGTGAGCCAGGCATTAGGTTGAATCATTACAATTATTAACGGGGGAAAAAAACTAAACTAAAACTAGCAATATTTAAATAAACTAATAAAAAATAAAAGCCAAAACTTAAAAATAATCACAATATCTTGCATATGCAATATTTGAACGAAGAGCAGAATCATAAAAATGCATATTCAGTAAAGATATTTGAGTTATGTCCATGCCTGTAAAGCACAGCATTGTAAAGTTGGCTGATGTTGAGTGTGTGTGTGTGTGTGGAGAGTACTTTGAGTCGACAGTGGCTGTGCTGCAGATGCTCGAGGTCACTGGTGTTCTTGGTCTGCTGGTTCTCCAGCTCGTGATGGGCACGCTGAGCTCTCCTCTGCAGCTGCAGCAGCTCATACAGCACGTTCAGCACCGGCACAGCGCTCAGCCCAGCCGACTCCACGCTCACTGCAGACAAGCCCAGCGAACACACCTCCTGAGGAGAGCCACACACACACCACAGCACTCCAGTTAAGAACATCTGATGAACATTACAGTACTTAAAGGTGCAGTGTGTGATGTTTAGAGGCATCTAGTGGTGAGGTTGTGAATTGCACCCAACGGTGGCCGACAGGAAGTGATGTCGTTGTCTGAGAGAGTAGCCAGTTAAGCAATGAGCTTTCTTTACAAAGATAAATTAAGAAATTAGGTTTACTTGATTATTGAGTAAAGCGATATGTTACTGCGAATATTAATGTTACTTGTTCATCATTGTGTCAGTGTTTAACTCGCTTTAAACGCGTGTGTCCGCTCAGGGCCACCGTAGAAACATGTGGATGTAAGCGGACCCGCGGTGTGTGTAGAGAGAAACGCCTCATTCTAAGCTAATAAACACAACGGTTCATTATGTAAGGTCTTTATACACCACTGAACACATAGTTATGTATATGATATTGCATTTCTGTCAACAGATCCTCCTAAATATTACACACTGCACCTTAAAATTAAACAATACTGATCTGCCTGCATTGACACCATTATACGGTTTTCTCCAATGAATTTTCTATGCATGAACTAAATTAATAACTTTTTTACAACGAAAACGAACCATCGTTGAACTTATGACGCTGTTTTCTTCTAGATCTGCTGTACAGCGGAAACTCTTGCATGATCACGGTTTATAAACGTCCTTCAGTCATTATGTGCCATGTAGACTCCAACATTCAAACTCAAAACTGGCTTTCTCACACACCCAGGTCATTCATTGGTACACAAGCCATTTTGCAGTTTGGTTTTACTGTACTGCGAATGTGAAAGTGCTTTATAAGATCTGAAAACAGCATCTAATGAACCGATGAAAGAGAACATTAGCTCTACATTAGAGTAGTGTTACGCTGCCTCAAAGGTACACGTACACCATGATGAACAGCAACAATGGTGTCGCTTTTACCATTTCAGTCTCATCCTTTGGAACTGAATCCAAATGAAAACAGCGTCTTCTTGACATGAACACAAGCCAAACTTTGTTTGAGGGTCAACGTAGACCCTGTTCACCGGCAGCCAATGAAGACTCAGTTACTGATGACTCGTTTCACAAGACAATTACTCAATTTATCTGCACTTTGAGCTCTGAAACTTTGCAAAGTTTCACAAACAGCTTTATCACACACTACATGAAAGGTGATCTAAATAAGATTAACAGGTGCACTTTAAATCATTACACTTTTAATCTCATTGCTTAAGTTTGATATATTGCAACACCAATACTCGCCAATAGGTGTGTAGCGATGCCCTACGATAGATGTCACGATGCTGATATTACTGCGATACTCCAGGAGTCGGGACATATGTTAAAAAGCTAACTAAATGTTTTACTGTAGATTAAAATGCTAAATTTGGTGTTACATTGTGTGTGTAAATGAACAGGCGTTTGGACTCGGTGCTGAAACCCAAAGCACAGGACAATAGAGACACCAGAATAACAATATTCATGATTCTGAAGCTGAAAGAATTACTTTAGTCGATATGCTTGTGCTGTCACTGACTAGATATATTTATAATAATGTCGGACACTTTTTACTGACATGTGGCATTATCAGGACACACAAATGTTCCCCCAGTGCATTATTATACATTATATTTAACATAATATACAGTGTTGAGCATGTTACTTAAAAAAAAGTAATTATAGTTACTAGTTACTTCTCCCAAATAGTAACTGAGTTACATCATTATAAAAGTAACTAATTACCAGAGAAAGTAACTATTGCGTTACTTAAAAAAAAAAAATTTAAAATAGGCCTATGTCAAATAATTTGGATGCCCCCAGTATTAAATATGTTAAATTAATGAAATGGACACTTAATGGTGTAGATTAGTGTTCAATGTTTTATAATAATAATAATTGATTCTATTGCTGTGGGACAATGTGAGAGACGCCTATTAATTTCAATATATTATTCTAAATATTAGCATTACTATAGTAGAACAATAAAACATTATAGATGGTTTATACTTAATATCGCAGAATCGCACAGACCCCAACTTGCCAACAAATAAGTTTAAAAATAAATTATGCTTCTTAAGAAATGTACCAAAAATGAATAAATAATAATAAAAAATATACATACTCTTTGTGCATATTAAAATGATAAAACTGTTACACAACTTCACAACTAGTAGACATACTGTAGCCTGAGTATTTTCTTCCTAACAAAAGTAAACAGTTTAACAAGTGCTCTCTCAATATAATACTGAACAATTTACCAAAAACAAATATAATACTAAAATATAATATTTTGGGGGTTTATTTTTATAACCTATAGCGAACGTACGTCATCATCAGAGATTATTTAAGCCAAATTCTAGACATTTTGCCGCACGTGTTTACAACCGGTCAAACAAAGATGTTTTCTGTGGATGTTCCCTGCAGGTTATTTTCGGGTTTATTTTATAACCTAAACAGAACATTCCCTGAAGGTAATTTTTTAGATTTTATTTGTATAACCATATAAATAAATGACACATATCTGCAACGTTAATTAATTTACAAACAAACTATATAATGCTCGGACACCCTCGGTCTCTCTCGCGCATTGAGCGCGCTCGCTTCGCTTTTGTCCACTCCGGCGCCTCGTAAACACACACACACACACACACCAGAGAAAAAAACTTTGCAGGTCCTATGGTGGAGAGAGAGCCTATTCGGATGAAAACCACTTCAGTGAGTTCAATTATAGTAACGCCACATTTTTTTATTCAGTAACGGTAACTGCGTTGTAACGGGGGAAACAGTAATTCGTTTGATTACTCGTTACTGAAAAAGATAACGCCGTTAGTAACGCCGTTTATTTATAACGCCGTTATTCCCATCACTGATAATATATAGCAGTTTAATGTCGTACTGACACAAACTTGAATTTTTCACTTTGGGTGAAGTATACACAATACAGTTTGTCACTATCCACGATACATATTGTTGCACTTTTGTATATTGTTACACCCCTACTCATCAATCATCAGATAAAAGAATAGCAATGGTTTAAATGTTTAAAACACCCTTTGTGATGTACCTGATTGATATATGCGACACACTGCGCTATGTTCTCCTCGGTGCAGAACGCACTCAGCACGCTGTAGGAGGGCTTGGGCAGAGCCATGCTGGAGTTTGGCCTGGAGGGAGACGTGCTGAGCCCAGAAATACCGGATAGCTCTTTGGTGTCTGTACAGAAGACAAAAGAAAAGCAGAGCCGGTTATTGAAGCCCGCCTTGACATGCCTAACATGACCGTTTTAACATGGTGTCGAGCAGCTGCAAAAAAGGCAAGTAAAAAGGTGCAGGAAAAGCTTAAAAACAACAACAACAACAATATAGATGTACGCAGCCATTATTGGTCCAAGCAGAACAGATGCTAAATAAGTTTCAACACATTAGGCAGTGGTGTTGCCAAATATTGGATTCGAATAAAGTTTTAAACAGCATTTCAGGATAGTCTGACGAGGGAAATGTGCTGAAAATGGCGAATTAGAGGGGAAAATAAATTGTCTTTCCAAGCCTTACGGTTCAAAAGTTACTAGCCTCAAAATGTGTGCAAGTTGAAAAGACATGAGGTGGAGAAAACGATGACAAAAACTACTCCTTCCAACTCATTACAGAAAAAGTACAGAGAGAAATATATTAGTTTCAATATGATGCAGTGCAACATTACACAGATTAACTATAAACAATCCTTAAATTAGCTAACAAGATCAAGCTAACTCTGTCCCAGACACAATCTCCCCATGTTTGAAGCTCACCGAGAGATGGATCTGGCATCGTCGCTGGAGTCCACCAATCTCCCATCACGTCCACATTCAGCTTGGCTGGGACTCTGGGGCGTCCCGCTCTTCCAGAAGCAGACTAGCACTCGGCCATCAGCACTCCTGAAATAGCACAGGCGTCAGGCCGGATTACAGGCCTCCGAAGCCGGATTAAACCGCAGGGAGCATCACTGCAGGATTACAGAGCCAGCGGGACACAGAAACAGGAGGATTGAGGAGGCATCATGACTTCTATTACAGGAGCTATACGTTCATGTGGAGCTCAAGTTAATCAATCTAGACATCATGTGAAGAAAACACAAGGATAGTCAGTCAGAGCTGGGACACACACAAGAGAGCCGTTATAGACCTGGGTCACATCTAGGGCTAATTGTCAAACAACAACTATTACTCAATGATGAACATGAACAACTGATTTCATCATTGATTAGCTGGGTCTGTGTGTCACCACAGGGGGGGGGGACTTATATTGCTGATATGAGGACGCTTTAAAACAATGATGTGCACTAATAAATTATTTAATAAACAATGCAACATTCCATGAAAAAAATAGGAATTGTCCATGCTGATTTCATGGTGACCCACACTAAAGATTTGACAAACAGCAGACGTATCAGCTTGAAATGGGAACTACTGTCACATTTGAAGAGAGTAACAGCGTGATGAATGACATTATCTGGAATTAGATGGACAACATATTAACCTCCCAACACCAAGATTGATTTCTGTCATTCTTATAGAAACGCATCTAAAACTGCTATTTGGCACACATTGAGATTCCTATTAAAATCATCTTGGCTTCTGGAGTATTATTACAGAAAACAAGCTCTGAAACCAATAAAAGTTTATGATTCTTCCACGTTCTGTTCATCAAGAGGATCTTCAGAAAGCCCAAATACAAATCACTAAAAGGAGAAAGCAAAAGTTAGGCCATAAACTAACTATACTACAATCACATGACATCAACGTCACCATCATCATGCTTAACAAATCCACTGCGCTCTGTGTCCATTGGTAATAAAAGTCTTCCCACACTCAAAGCACACATGATTTCTTACACCAGTATGTATTTTCTGATGTACTTTTAAATCATGCAGACGTGAAAAACTCTTTCCACACAAAGAACATGAATGTGGTTTCTCTTGTAGTGGAGGAATCTGGTTCCCACCTATTTTATTTTTTGGAAATGTGTTCATGTTGCAAGTGTCTAATATATATAAAAAAAATTCTCTTTCAGCATGTGCTTATCTAGATAGTTATCATCATCATGGCTGTATCAGTGTCTACTCGTTGTGTTCAAACCCATCGGCAACATCTGTAGTCCCATTTAGCCATTTGCTAACAACAGCCTTTTTCAAGACACAACGCTTACGGCATAGCCTACAGATATGTGTGAAACAACAAGTTAATAATTAATCCTCTATGCTTGGAGTCATTTCATGTTTTAAACTGTACTTTGCTTTCAGGAACTGTAATGTTGTTAAACCAAAGAAAGAAGTTGTTCAGAGAAAGGCTAGGGAGGTTTTATCAAGAAGATTTAGGTTATATATTAAGAATATTAATTGAGATTTTAATTCCACATCCGGAGCTCAGACTATTCTCATGGCAAGAACGGTTTAAAGGGTTCATTTTCTATCAATGATAAAATAGTCAATCAATAATAATAATAATATATATACACTCACCGGCCACTTTATTAGGTACACCTGTCCAACTGCTCGTTAACACTTAATTTCTAAGCAGCCAATCACATGGCGGCAACTCAGTGCATTTAGGCATGTAGACATGGTCAAGACAATCTCCTGCAGTTCAAACCGAGCATCAGTATGGGGAAGAAAGTTGATTTGAGTGACTTTGAACGTGGCATGATTGTTGGTGCCAGAAGGGCTGGTCTGAGTATTTCAGAAACTGCTAATCTACTGGGATTTTCACGCACAACCATCTCTAGGGTTTACAGAGAATGGTCCGAAAAAGAAAAAACATCCAGTGAGCGGCAGTTCTGTGGGCGGAAATGCCTTGTTGATGCCAGAGGTCAGAGGAGAATGGCCAGACTGGTTCGAGCTGATAGAAGGGCAACAGTGACTGAAATAACCACTCGTTACAACCGAGGTATGCAGCAAAGCATTTGTGAAGCCACAACACACACAACCTTGAGGCGGATGGGCTACAACAGCAGAAGACTCCACCGGGTACCACTCATCTCCACTACAAATAGGAAAAAGAGGCTACAATTTGCAAGAGCTCACCAAAATTGAACAGTTGAAGACTGGAAAAATGTTGCCTGGTCTGATGAGTCTCGATTTCTGTTGAGACATTCAGATGTTAGAGTCAGAATTTGGCGTAAACAGAATGAGAACATGGAACCATCATGCCTTGTTACCACTGTGCAGGCTGGTGGTGGTGGTGTAATGGTGTGGGGGATGTTTTCCTGGCACACTTTAGGCCCCTTAGTGCCAATTGGGCATCGTTTAAATGCCACGGCCTACCTGAGCATTGTTTCTGACCATGTCCATCCCTTTATGGCCACCATGTACCCATCCTCTGATGGCTACTTCCACCATGTCACAAAGCTCGAATCATTTCAAATTGGTTTCTTGAACATGACAATGAGTTCACTGTACTAAAATGGCCTCCACAGTCACCAGATCTCAACCCAATAGAGCATCTTTGGGATGTGGTGGAACGGGAGATTCGCATCATGGATGTGCAGCCGACAAATCTGCGGCAACTGTGTGATGCCATCATGTCAATATGGACCAAACTCCCTGAGGAATGCTTCCAGCACCTTGTTGAATCTATGCCACGAAGAATTGAGGCAGTTCTGAAGGCAAAAGGGGGTCCAACCCGTTACTAGCATGGGGTACCTAATAAAGTGGCCGGTGAGTGTACATGATATTATTAATACATAATATGTATAAAGATTCTAAAAAGTTATGGTAAGATCGTATTAAGCCAGTCCTTTAATAAAGCACACCAAGTAAAATCGTCATCTTAACTGCCTCGTAATCTTAAAACAAAATAACTTTTTTTTTATGCTTTAATTAAACATTCAGTTTACAGTGTGTAAAACAAAATAACCTCCCTCAGATTTCTCATCTCTGATGATGACGTGTTTACTGGTGCGAGGGCGGGGCAACCTGTCACTCACACGAGATCCACCAATAGCAAACCACAACCAATCAATTCCTCACAGTCAAAATCAAATGAAAACAAAAATTACATTCATTGCAAAGAAAACAAACTCAATCTATTTAATGTCAGAAACGCCCCCTGTGTGGAAAAGCTTCGAGTAACTAACTCAATTTCAGTACATTATTATTTAAAAACACCATTTGCTTCAGAAATGTTCATTTTTATCAACACTAACTTATCTGCATTCGTCCAATCTGATTCAATATTCTCAGTTCTCACTGCAACATTAACTTACTCACTAGAAAAATAACATGTTTATTTTCACTGAATGACCGTTAGCTAGCGTCCAGTGGGTCTGTTTCAGTTCTCTACCTAGACAGCATTTCTAGGCGGGTTGGAACACGTCCATTCGACCCTAGACACGCAGTCTATGTAGGAGACACACGACATTAGAGACACAGCCCGAGTTTTAACTTTAGCACAGCGCTAATAACACAGTCACACATGTTGACTTACATTAGATGCAGCTCCGCGGATCCAACCCGTCAGATGTGCTCGCGTGCTGGACTGGCTAGATTTAGATCAGAACGATCCCGAGCGAGTGTGTGAGAGACTGCAGTGCGAGTGTCGGTCACCTGCCCTGGAGCGCAGGAGATGTTTGGGTGATTTGAAGCGCACCTCCGCTCCTCCAAATAAGCAAGCACGACGCTCATTGGCCAGCCTGTTGTCAGGCAACCAGCATCTCGCCATTTCATTGGCTGGATTATCTCTCCTACCTGCCTGTAAGCAGAGCCACAACAGGTTTTTATTTTTTTTTTTTAAAAATGTTATTGCTTTAAACAACAAAAGGAAACAACATACATTTTAGAGCCAGGTGAGCAAAGACCACACACACATAAAAAAAAAAACAAGATCTTTGTATTAATCAAAGATTTTGAAGACAGTAAACAAACGAACAATCTTAATAGCTTTCCCATTAGTAGCCTACTAGCTTGGATAGTAGAAAAGTAATTTTCGAATTCTTTAAGGAATACTGACAAAGGGGGCTTTTTGTTAGAAAACTTACACTTATTATCGATGTGAAATGTGACTAATAAAATTAACAGATTAATAACAAAAGCCTCCTTAATCACACTGTTATCATACTTTGAATATCCAAAAATTACATTTTTAAAATGCAAAACAAAATTAAAGAGTACCTTTTCCTGAATAAACACGACACGCAACACGTGCCTACAGGGAACTAATGTATGGAGAAGACATGAATCATTTAAAAAATATGATAGCTGTAAATAATAATAATAATAATAATAAAAGATACACGTACATATTTTAATATTTGTATATTTTCAAGTAGCCTACAATGATTCCTCAATTTATTTAAATTAGTATATAGCCTACCTTTCATTTATTATTTCATTCACTCTTCTTTTATTAATAATTAATTATTTGTTTAAAATATTTCCTCTATAGGCTATGGTCCAAACATGTAATATTGAAAAACAAATTAAGCAACATATAAAATAAATAAAAATGAATTTATCCAACAAATATTGTTCAAACATTTAAGGTTTTAAAATAAATCTTCATGTCACACGACACAAGACAGTAATGATGTGAGGAATTACAATATAAATACAAATGCACTTTGATTATCATGTGATAAAATAGCTACATTTTACACTTCATGAGACTGTACGATGACTTTCATTTTCAGGACAGAAAACATTAGCTGTTTTATTATGTTGTGCACTTAATAGGACTCATAAATAATGTACCAACAGTTATATATTAAAAAAGACTAAATGTGTTGCTATGAATAAAACACAGGCAGGTTTAGTTATTTGCAAAAACCAAATCTGTAATCATAAATCACTGTATTGTCATAAACACAGAGGGAGAACTATTTCACCAAGCTATTTCACACAGCCTTAATGAAGCGACACACACATTTGCTTTCTTTCACCATACACGCTCATGTTGTATGCTTTTTTATTATGGTGTTTAGCCTACTGAGTTTGCTCTGTTAATATCTCTGTCTTTCGAGCGCTTTAGGACGTCCCATAGGAAAGCGTTGTGAATCCTCCTCCCCATCTCATGTGTGTGTGTGTGTCCCCTCAGGGCCTCCATACTACAGCACGCTGATAATCATAGATGTATATAATCATAGATATATCTATGGTGATAACAGCCTTCCTTGTGTTTGTGGTGTTCAGTGAACTCTTCAGTCTGCAGTGAGATCATGACTGAGGATCAGACACAGGTTTGCAGTATTTTTGAATTGAGTTTGTTTGCACCGCTGCTTTGAAATATGAAATTTGCACATTGTTTACATACCATATAGGCTTCTTCAATGATAAATGATGATAAATGGTCTCCATCCAGCAACATGATCTCTAAAACTTACATTTCCGTCAGTGGATCACAAACCTTAAAATAGAGATCAATATACTGTACAGTGTAAGTGATGTGAGATTATACTTGAGCCACGGTTAACACTGACATCTACTGGCTCTTTAGAAGAATACATTTACACAGATCCCAGCTAAACATTTACATGGCTTAACCAGAAGGTTTTAGTACTTCAGGAAGAAGTGTATCAATTTGTTCTTGAAAAAATTGCCATTTTAAAGTGAAAATGACTTGTAACCAAACATAAATAATCTCTATCGCCTCTGAAGATCGTGGTCTCAACTCCGCTAGACCAAACCAGCTTTAAAATGAACCACATAGACCATAAAATGCTTCCTCGGGTCAAGAAAACACTTCTGCTCATGCGTCCTTAACCTTACATAGGGATGTGAAGTGACCTATTGCATTCTGCTCGATTTAAGATGCATAACAGGGTTTATTGGCACGTAACACATCCTAAATAACAGAGTTGGGACAGGGCCTTAGAAGTGACCGAGAAGTGTTGTAAACTACTTGTGGCAAAAATTAACAGTGACTTTTAATACAGCAAATATTTTCAGTGTTAACACAATATAGCTCACTTCAAAATACATTAAAGATCAGCAGACAAGCTGTCAGTATATTAAGTGATGAAAAGCAGTTATTCGCCTCTCCGTCGACTTCATTCACAAACTGAAACGTTTTTATAGCACTTTATGCAATAAAGATGATTTCAAAGCAGAATCAGATCAGAAAATAATGATCAATGATGCAAACTTCAACAATAGTGTGTTTATTCATCTGAGGTCAGTTCACTGTTGATTCAGTTTAATAAATGTAGAAAGTTCATCAATTATGAGCATGTCTACAGAAGACAATAGTGTTGGTTGAGTCAGTTCACTTTCAGTGTCGATGTTGAGGACATCAGTATGACCAGTAATGATGGTGATGGGTTATTGTGTGTGTGTAAATCTCAAACTGGACATGGAAAAGGGAAGGTAATGAAAACAAAAGCTTCTCAACATGTTGTTTGCATTCAGAATAGATCCAGACAGATTCAGCCGAACAGTGATACTTCATTGGATGGCCAATTTCAAAAATATAAAATACATGTAAATACATTTATTTTGATTTGTTTCAACTGAGGTATTATGTATTTTTATTTTTAAAATACATTTTCATGTATTTATGCCCATCTTTGGGAACCAAATATAATAAATTCTACATAGTATAAAAACACATGAGTAAGTTGGGACACTTATATTACATCGAAAAAGGTTTTGGCTCCAACGTCTCGATCTTTCAGCCTTTCACGTCGATAACAAGACATGTGGCGAGAGTCTGGTGAGCGTCAGGAGCAGCAGAGGCCGGGAGCACACGGGCCGCACGAGGAGGAGGAGGAGGAGGATTCTTCATCCATCATGTACTTCCCCGAGTCCGGTGTGTCCCGGCACTCAGCGAGGAACGCCTGCAGGTCCGACAGCGGTTCTCCTCGCGTCTGGTGGTGCTGCGGTTAGAGAGAGAATGATTAGCATGGATGGCTCTGTTCACAGCAGTCAGTGTTTGGGACAAGGCTGTTACCCTTCCCTTTACCCTTCTATGAGGAACAAGCTTTGCTCAGTCTCGATTGGTAAACAACCAAATTGGCTGTTTAACTGGGGTACTTCGGGACAAAAATGTCCCGAAGCGTTTTTAAAAATTTAAAATAAAAAATTGTAGCTTCATCGGAATGGTCCGAAACTTGGTGACTTTTTTGGTACTTGGTATATGAACACCCAAAAAAATTGGGGACAGGATTTGAAAAGTCTAAGTGGTCGTAAAAAAAATAGTCACACTCAGGACCTTCGGGTCAAAAATGACCCCCATTGGAAATGAATGGGAAATTGGCAAAAATGTGAAAATACAGAGTTTTTTTTGTGCATACAATCTACCAAACAGCCAGGATGCAGAAAAAAGCACACAACAGTGAAGGGGTGAATCTCTTAAAACAATGGGTGACAAAATATTTTCCATTTGTTCTCTTTATAATGCAATGTTCAGGTTTGACTGTATTATAAAGTAAAACTGCCACTTAAAATTACCATTTAAACCAACCAAATTTTTTTTTTTTTATTATTATTAAAAAAAGACAAAAATAGTCTTTGAGAATCTGTTATTATATATTCAAATCAACAACCTGAAAAAAATTAAACAATATGTGAAAAAATCACTAAAGTGTTTCTACCATAGGTTTCTACAGAGAGCTGTAAATCCACTAGTGGTAAAAATGTGCTATTGCGTGATAAAAATGCTCAGTGTGTCCACCAGATGGCTCCGATCTCATTTCAAAAATTGCTTTCATGAGGCCTAGACTTGACTCTAAAATGAAATACAGCTTTAATAAAAAAAAAAAATGATTATATATTTATATAAATTTTCTATTATATTCAATGGGAAAAAATGGGTCTTAATTATTGCATAAATATTAATTATAAATCATAAAATTATCTCAAAACACCAAAAAAGAAAAGAAAAAATATTATTGAACAAAAATATATTTCATTGATTTTACTCAAATAAAATGTATCTTAATGCCGCCCTCCGGGTCATTTTTGAGTCTAAAATGAAGTACCCCAGAGGGTTAAATGTAAATTAATCCGGTTATTTTAAAGTAATAATTATATATTTTTCCTTGCTCTGAAAACATTTTCACTGGCCTCAACACAAAAGCCTGCTCAAAAAAATGACTTCAATTCATAAACACACTTTTGCTGGAAAATGATGGAAAACAAGGCAACACATTGCTGACCGTATTCATAAACACATTCTTACTGAAACTTTCAAGACTACAACAAAACGTTGTCGGGATAGTTCCGGTTCGCGGAAGCAATAAAAAAAAATCCTGTATTATACATTTTTCAAGGCTTGTACCTTGGAACCTATTTCCCGGTTTGCGTTCTCGAGAGGCACTGTTTTGAGCAAATGAGCGGCCGGATCGCATTAAAGCTACACTGTGTGAGATTTCCTCCCATCTAGCGGTGAAATATGATAACCAACCTTCTAGCCCCTCCCCTTCCGAGCTGTCGGGTTCCCAAACGAGTGCAAGCTAATGTCAGTAAAGTATCAGTGCTATCGTTATTCTGTGTGCTTGCCAAGAAGAAAGCAACTTCGGCGTCCCTTTTAAAAGCCTTGCTCCTCATGAGCTCTTTCCATCTTGGAAAAGCCACTCCAATGTTGACTTTGGTCTTGTTGATTTGCCTGTCGCCTTGTCGTTTTATTTCTGTCTTTCGCGTCCTTGGCGACTGGGTTACATGTCCTCGAGAATAGGCGTGATCCTCCATCTTCAACAGGCTTTCAAATCAGCCGGCAGTCACGAGTAATCTCCCCTCGCGTTCGTCACGGTGCCACTGAGTGTAAAGGCGCGAAAGGCGAAGCTTGAATTTCCAGGTATGTCCCTCTTTGGCTACTGTATTTTCAAGATGGAGGCGCAACATGGCTGCCGGTATTCGAGCGGCTCGCTCGTGTGTATTCTGAATGGCAGATTGACAGTATTTACACATGAATGAGCACATATACTTTTGAAAGAACAAAGTTTTTTTTGCGAAGAATCAACTTAAAAAATGACACATTGTAGCTTTAAGGGTTTTCTGTTAGCTAACGGCCGCTAAGTTAATAACTAATGATCGTTGCGACGAGGAAGTGAATCAATCAAAACTACTCAAATCAAAACTTTATCTGGACAATAACTTAATTCTAGAGCTGCTGTACAGCCAAAACAATCTGTTACTGTAATCTCCTATTATCACTGTAACGCTGCTGTGAAACAGTCTATATTGTTAAAAGCGCTGTGTAAATGAAGGTGACTTGACTTACTACTCTGAAACAACCAACTATTAAACCTCAGCACATAACATGAATAATACTTCCAATCATGTGCCCTAGGAACAAGCCAGCTCTGCTTTCGGACGCAGTATCAGTGTGTTAGCAGTGTGTCATGAGTGTCAGTGTGTTAGCAGTGTGTCATGAGTATCAGTGTGTTAGCAGTGTGTCATGAGTATCAGTGTGTTAGCAGTGTGTCATGAGTGTCAGTGTGTTAGCAGTGTGTCATGAGTATCAGTGTGTTAGCAGTGTGTCCCGAGTATCAGTGTGTTAGCAGTGTGTCCCGAGTATCAGTGTGTTAGCAGTGTGTCCTGAGTATCAGTGTGTTAGCAGTGTGTCCCGAGTATCAGTGTGTTAGCAGTGTGTCCCGAGTGTCAGTGTGTTAGCAGTGTGTCCCGAGTATCAGTGTGTTAGCAGTGTGTCCCGAGTATCAGTGTGTTAGCAGTGTGTCCCGAGTATCAGTGTGTTAGCAGTGTGTCCCGAGTATCAGCGTGTTAGCAGTGTGTCCCGAGTATCAGTGTGTTAGCAGTGTGTCCCGAGTATCAGTGTGTTAGCAGTGTGTCCTGAGTATCAGTGTGTTAGCAGTGTGTCCCGAGTATCAGTGTGTTAGCAGTGTGTCCCGAGTATCAGCGTGTTAGCAGTGTGTCCCGAGTATCAGTGTGTTAGCAGTGTGTCCCGAGTATCAGTGTGTTAGCAGTGTGTCCCGAGTATCAGTGTGTTAGCAGTGTGTCCCGAGTGTCAGTGTGTTAGCAGTGTGTCCCGAGTATCAGTGTGTTAGCAGTGTGTCCCGAGTGTCAGTGTGTTAGCAGTGTGTCCCGAGTATCAGTGTGTTAGCAGTGTGTCCTGAGTATCAGCGTGTTAGCAGTGTGTCCCGAGTATCAGTGTGTTAGCAGTGTGTCCCGAGTGTCAGTGTGTTAGCAGTGTGTCCCGAGTATCAGTGTGTTAGCAGTGTGTCCCGAGTATCAGCGTGTTAGCAGTGTGTCCCGAGTGTCAGTGTGTTAGCAGTGTGTCCCGAGTATCAGTGTGTTAGCAGTGTGTCCCGAGTATCAGTGTGTTAGCAGTGTGTCCCGAGTGTCAGTGTGTTAGCAGTGTGTCCCGAGTATCAGTGTGTTAGCAGTGTGTCCCGAGTATCAGTGTGTTAGCAGTGTGTCCCGAGTATCAGTGTGTTAGCAGTGTGTCCCGAGTATCAGTGTGTTAGCAGTGTGTCCCGAGTGTCAGTGTGTTAGCAGTGTGTCCCGAGTATCAGTGTGTTAGCAGTGTGTCCCGAGTATCAGTGTGTTAGCAGTGTGTCCCGAGTATCAGTGTGTTAGCAGTGTGTCCCGAGTATCAGTGTGTTAGCAGTGTGTCCCGAGTGTCAGTGTGTTAGCAGTGTGTCCCGAGTATCAGTGTGTTAGCAGTGTGTCCCGAGTATCAGCGTGTTAGCAGTGTGTCCCGAGTGTCAGTGTGTTAGCAGTGTGTCCCGAGTATCAGTGTGTTAGCAGTGTGTCCCGAGTATCAGTGTGTTAGCAGTGTGTCCCGAGTATCAGTGTGTTAGCAGTGTGTCCCGAGTGTCAGTGTGTTAGCAGTGTGTCCCGAGTGTCAGTGTGTTAGCAGTGTGTCCCGAGTATCAGTGTGTTAGCAGTGTGTCCCGAGTATCAGCGTGTTAGCAGTGTGTCCCGAGTATCAGTGTGTTAGCAGTGTGTCCCGAGTGTCAGTGTGTTAGCAGTGTGTCCCGAGTGTCAGTGTGTTAGCAGTGTGTCCCGAGTGTCAGTGTGTTAGCAGTGTGTCCCGAGTATCAGTGTGTTAGCAGTGTGTCCCGAGTATCAGTGTGTTAGCAGTGTGTCCCGAGTATCAGCGTGTTAGCAGTGTGTCCCGAGTATCAGTGTGTTAGCAGTGTGTCCCGAGTATCAGCGTGTTAGCAGTGTGTCCCGAGTGTCAGTGTGTTAGCAGTGTGTCCCGAGTATCAGTGTGTTAGCAGTGTGTCCCGAGTATCAGTGTGTTAGCAGTGTGTCCCGAGTGTCAGTGTGTTAGCAGTGTGTCCCGAGTATCAGTGTGTTAGCAGTGTGTCCCGAGTATCAGTGTGTTAGCAGTGTGTCCCGAGTATCAGTGTGTTAGCAGTGTGTCCCGAGTATCAGTGTGTTAGCAGTGTGTCCCGAGTATCAGTGTGTTAGCAGTGTGTCCCGAGTATCAGTGTGTTAGCAGTGTGTCCCGAGTATCAGTGTGTTAGCAGTGTGTCCCGAGTGTCAGTGTGTTAGCAGTGTGTCCCGAGTGTCAGCGTGTTAGCAGTGTGTCCCGAGTATCAGCGTGTTAGCAGTGTGTCCCGAGTATCAGCGTGTTAGCAGTGTGTCCCGAGTGTCAGTGTGTTAGCAGTGTGTCCCGAGTGTCAGTGTGTTAGCAGTGTGTCCCGAGTGTCAGTGTGTTAGCAGTGTGTCCTGAGTATCAGTGTGTTAGCAGTGTGTCCCGAGTATCAGTGTGTTAGCAGTGTGTCCCGAGTGTCAGTGTGTTAGCAGTGTGTCCCGAGTATCAGTGTGTTAGCAGTGTGTCCCGAGTATCAGTGTGTTAGCAGTGTGTCCCGAGTATCAGTGTGTTAGCAGTGTGTCCCGAGTATCAGTGTGTTAGCAGTGTGTTAGCAGTGTGTCCCGAGTGTCAGTGTGTTAGCAGTGTGTCCCG